GTGGAGATGAGGAGGTGTCGGTGTTCTGGCGATTTACTCGGAAGGCTTCAGTAGAAGCTGCTGGGAGTCCCAGCAGCTTCTACTGAAGCCAGTCCCCAACTCCGGGGACTTCCGGCCGGGGACTCCGGGTGACAGTATACGCCGTGAAGTTGTTTGCGGCCTGCCAGTAAACCCAAAGCAGAAGAAGACGAAGTGACGTCAGCGGCTCATTTGCGTAATCTTCCCTCAGGGAATTTATTCCGGTGTGAGCGCGATCTGTACTAAATGCCCTGGGGTCATAAGTGCCGGGGCACTGAGTGCTGGCACTGAGTACGGCAAAGTACTTGGTGTGAACGCGGCTATTAACAAGGCCCGTGGAAAACCACAACATCCATTGCAAGTACAGCGCAAAGATTTAATTTGGACACAGACAATGTCACTTCTCAAGTAAAAGTAGATCGTTTAGATTGCACTTAATGTATATGATTCCATGTACAAAAGGTTCTGTAACTTGTTAAAAATGGATAATGTTTAATTAAGTTAAAGAAGCCTTGTTTGAACATTATATCCATGATTTTGTCCAGTGAATTCAAAACTATTACTAGTACTACTAGTACCAGTTGATGAACCAGAAAGATAAAATGTTTGCTTAACCAATAGAAAAGCATGTGATCCCATCATTAGGAGTAAAATACGAACACCAGCTATTGGCTTCTTGTGATGATGATGATGATGATGGCATTTTGAATGTTTACTGCATTTGACCAATGGTAACTTTTTGATGCATGCAATTGTAACTTGAACTCTGTCATAAACTGTTGTTAAATGTTACAGAGGGGATACATTAATAACTCAAAAGTTAAGAGGCTTAAAGTAATGTTTGTAAAGTACAAAAAGTTGCTCCCTTTGTCGCGTCCTAAGGGAGAACGGTGAGGAACATGGAGGACTTGGATGCTGCCTGGACCAGATGGTGCGTCTGTCATTGGCTCTGGGTTTCTTTGACTTTGGGTGCCAGGACTTGATGGAGTCAGAAGTGAAGTGACAGGAGAGAGGCTGAACAACAGAAGAGAGGCAGTGGTGGGAACAGAGAGTTCCAACATGCAGAGTGTGGGTCTGGGTGTGAAGGCTCTGGCTGTCTGTTTGCTACTGTATGATTGATTTACAACATGGTGATAATGTTCTCAGAAGATGACAAAGCAACAGGAGGAGAAATATCTCGGGTCGAGTTGTGTGACAGTGTTTATGATGGTCTTAGTTCTGCAGGAGGTTATGAAACAACTACATTCACTTTCTGTGTTACATGCAAAACACAGTATATGCTAAGAAAAAACATTATACGTGCCGTGTACAGCACTTCTATTAACTCCTATTTTGTCTTTCTGGTGAAATCTATGGGTTTTAAGCACTATTATACACAAAAACATGCAAAAAGTAAGGAATTTAACATAAAAAAAATAAAAAAACGAACCAAAATGTTTTCATGTTTGTAAGAACTTTTTTGAAGTGTTTAAAATAGTAAGGTTTTGGTAACACTTTATATTAAGGTACACAAATTAACCATCAACTAGTTGTTAATTAACGTGCATATTAGCAGTATATTGGCTCTTTATTAGTCATTATAAAACACTTATTAAATGCCTTATTCTACATGGCCATATTCTATAAGCCATTAGTTGAGAGTTTTTCCTCAATAACCCTCTAATTAGTGCTTATTTATTGCAAGTAAGGAAGTTGTTGTACATGAGTTTGGGTCTTAATATGCTCTGCTCAATATGGGCCTTATAAGGCAGTAATGCCACAAGAATAGTAATTCTCCCATAATAACACTTAACAAATATGATCTATTCTTATGTAACAAGACATGAAACTATAAGTGTTAATTGTGTCTAAATACACGATGAGGGCCATTTTCCCAGACCAGCACAGCATCCGTGATGTTTTTGGGGCAAAACCTCCTCAGCACAGCAGCACAGGATAGGCGAAAGCAGGCCCCAGCCCGAAACGTGGAGGCGCTCTGGTCTCCCCACGATGTCCCCGGGGCAAAAATCCTCCCCAGCACACGACAGGTGGAAGCAAGCCTCCGCTACAGCAGAAACAGGACAGCTGGAAAGCAGGCCCCAAGCCCGAACGTCGAGCCGCTCCGGTCTCTCCGCGATGTCCCCGGGGCAAATCCTCCTCACCACAGCAGCACAGTACAGGTGGAATCAGGCCTCCACTACAGCAGTACAAGACAGGCAGAAGCAGGCCCCAGCCCGAACGCGGAGAACGCCCTCGGTGCAAAAACCTCCTTTCCACGCCCCGTGAGGCGGATGAGTAAAAGAACTGCCATGTGAGACGCTCTGCTCGCAGCCAGGTGAGACGCTCTGCTCGCAGCCAGGTGAGACGCTCTGCTCGTATTGTTTCCGATAGCAACTTTGTGATAGTGCCGTGGGTCCACATTTCCGATATTACGTCATATCGGACGCAAATCTGGATCAGCTCCGTTGTACCCCCGTTTTAGAGATTTGGGTACGGAGGAAAAAGAGAGAGGGTTTTATTTTCTGACGCTGCATGAGTTCCCCGACACACCGGGGACACATATTTATGTATAAAAGACATCAAAAAGTGCATTTTGCATGATAGGTCCCCTTTAAAGGACTCGATAAATGATTGAAGAGTTTGTAAACGGACATTTTGATTATCTTTGTTGCAGTTAAGTGCAGTGCCCTATATCTTCAATGGATCAAGAGTTTTTTTATTTTTCTTCAAGAATTCTTGGTAACAAGTAGTGATTAATCGATATACAAATGGTCATTATGTGGGTGAATCATTACTTTGAACTAGCATTTACTTGAATTGCCAGAAATCCGGATAGTTCATAGAGTAGAAAAATAGAGAGTAAACTAAAATACTGGGCATGACTTTAAATGTGAAAGTAAATGACTGTGCATGTGTGTTTGTTGAAATGGACAAGAGTGGGTAAGGAAGGGATAATATGTATGACCCCTTGTTGCCATGGTGAGGTTGCTAACAAGAGTGGCTTGTGACTGAGTGAGCACAGCAATCATTCTGCGATCAGGCTCACAGGCACATCGTTTATTCCCAGCAATGCTTAAAAAAAAAGTCTTCTTGACCAGTTTGGCTACAATGCACTATAATAAAGGGGCATCTTAATATGACCTGTTCTGTGAAGAGAACAACCTCAAAACTACTGATGTCACAACAGCAGTAGCACTGATGTAGTAGCTTCATCTGAGGATTATTCCAGGGATTTATCAGCATACAAAGGAAGAGTTCTGTTTTACACGAGAACATTACTCAATCACGAGCAAACTTTTGACAGCATCATGGCAAAGCATCAAGCATTTAATAGGCACAATTATTGCTATACTGCTCTAGAGCCATCCCACATAAACCACTAAACACCAGGAGGCTAAAAACCCTGATCATAATTTGAAAATATATTATAAGGTATTAAGTGACTGTAAAGTTAAGTTCCTATTGTCATGACGGTCTTTACTTAGATTTGTATAGGAATAAATGGCTCAATCTTAATGCAGCATCATGGTTCGGAGTCCTACATTTGGGTGTTGGCTGACATAAACTTTCCAAACCATCCACAACGTGTTCATATAAAAAGATCATAGTACCTCCTGGATTCTGCCATCTCTATGAGTGTTACTAGGTACTAGATGCAGGCTAGAGGCAATAAACACCTGACAGTTAGTGAGTCAGGAGCACGGTGAAAATCACATGACAGGTCAGTGAGGAAAGGTGGCAGCGTCTCTCCCATGGCACAACTGGGCTCAAAATGACAGTAAATGCTTAATCTTTGCGTATGGTTTCCATTTAGAAAAATTACATTACAGCCTGCAGCCAGGACAGGAAATGATATTCAATCTATATCAGTCTTTCGGTTTGATTGTCCCACCCAAAATATGCTGTAAATCCAAAGTACTTGTGTCTGGTAAAAAATGTCAATGTGGAAACCAGCTAACTGTGAATCAGCACTACTGATGCCGGTCATTTACGACACATAAGACACCGGTACAATATCCTAACATTATTTAAAAATCGGATAGTGCATATCATATCCTTTGTATACACTTCTATTGTTAGCTACAACAGAAGTAGCTATTTGTGAAGGCTTTCAACCCTAAAGGAGTGAGTGATATTCAGGCTGCTGTTCGTTGGTGTAAGCTAGGTGCCCTTGAGATGAAAGGTGGGGGGGTTCTGTGTGTGGCTGCACTACTGATGTCAAAATGTGGTGAGGGGATATTAAAGTGAAGCGTACATGTTTACAAGAAATCCTGATAAAATACATCCTGAGAAATGATTAAAAAAGCTTTTCCCCTCAAAGTCCTGCCTTCCCAAAACCCAGACACTGCCACAGACAGAAGAACACCACAATGCAGGCAAGCCTGACACAGCACATTTTGCAATATTGTGCTACCCACTGCTGCCTTTCAGACAGCTTCCTTAAAGAAGAAACTGCACAGACCAGACAGGGTGGAGAGAGGAAGACAAGGTGAAGAGCTGGGAGTAAGGTGGTGGGTAGTCAGAGAAGAGGAGGGGTGGGTGCAGGGCAGGCTGGGTGGGGAGAGAGCTGGGTGGCCTTGCATCAAATGCATCAATTATTGATCAGCTGGTGGAAGAAAAACATGCGCACTGAGGACACCGGTGGATAAGGTGACAATAAGGTTTCTTTAAGGCTACCAACTAATTTAACATGTGCATTTTGTGTGTGATCAATGTAACTCACACCCAGTCCAACGCACCCCCCCCCCCCTCCTACACATGTTCTCCATCCCCATCCTGTGTGTCCAATTGCAACCGGTCCCAAATGAGCTAGGGGAGATTAGCGCGTCTGTGTCGCCTCTCTTTATTGCAGCTGCTCTCTGCACATGCTAGACTAATCTCAGGGCCGGGGGTTAGAGGGAGTTATTACAATAATTGTCTTCAAAAGCACGGTAACACCTACTAGTTGTCCCTGCTACTGAAGGTGACAAATAGACGCTCTGTGTTTTTAATAATCTACTTACATGGTCCGGGTTCCGATCTTTCCCAGGCAGTGCCGTGCGTAAAGACATGTTCGTCCCTGAGTGCGCCTCTTCGTCCAAGAGAAAATAAATAAGTGGGCTGTAGGATTGTGTTCACACTGGGTTAAAAACACACCTCAGATTATCCTGGTTGTCAGTCACTCCAGAAGAAAACAGCCTCATACAATCCTCATTGTCATAGTCCGTGAAGGCAGCACAGATCACCAAGACAGTGATCCAGCTTTAATTGATGCGTACAAAAAATCTACATCCACCTCATGACTGTGTGTTGTGGTTGGTACCAAGCTAGCCTCATCTGAAGAAATCACAGCCCAGACTGAACCCCTTCTTAGCTTCACACTTTCCCCCAACCTTCCCAGGCGTTATCGGACCATTTCGGTGGACACTGGCTGGCTCGTTAATAAAAGAATCCCGGTGGTAATCGGTTTACTTCCAGCTGCATCGGTGTTGTTGTGAAAGGCGAATAAAACTCGACCATCGATGCAACTGATGAGGGTTTTAAAAAAAGAAGAGAAACAACAGTGGGCTCTGTGCGACCACCGCGGGTTGAGTTGAGAAAAAAAGGGGGAGTTTCTGTTTTCCTGTTGGCTAGTGAATATTTTTCAGGGTGACAAACGTCAAAACGGCGGCTCCCATGGAGGAATAGTCACGGAAACAGAAGCAGGAACCGTCTGAGAACACATTTCGAGAAGCAGGAGATGTACGGAGCCTGGGGAAACCGATTGCGGTTGACCTGAAAGAAAGCGGCGGATGTGAAGCCTTCCAGTCAGTCTCTGGCTCTTCTTCTCAGCTCAGTCCGCCCTTAGCACCTCTCATTCGGTTTGGCTCCAACTGCTTCAGCGGTGAATTCAAAGTCGCGCGGTTGAGCAGCTGAACACGCAGATATGTATCCCCGGAAATATGTGTTTTTGAGCGAAGACCATAGAAAACGGAACCCCCCCTTCGCCTCCCGAAAAACCCAGTGTGAGAGAAAGAGGGAGGGAGATGGACGTCAGCGGTAATGAAAGGCAGGGCTGCTGCGTCGCTGTCCGCGCACGCGCACACACACGCGCCTTTCTCTCCTCTCCCCCTCTATCGCTCATGCTGCCTTCACGTACCCATTATTAAATCAGACTTTCGGCTTTCGGATTTCGTGTGTGAGTTTAAGCATGAGTTAAAGTCATTATTTACTGACACTCCAGAGTTTTATACAAACATAAAGGCAACAAAGGTCGTCTTTCCATTTCATGACAAAGTATCTTCAATTTGACCTCGTGGAAAACCACCAAACTCCTATTTTCTTTACTTTTTCTTTATCATGATCGCCTCGTGGTGGCTAAAATAAGTTTAATAAATGTTTAAAAACATCATTATGATTATTACTTTGATGATGATGATGATTATTATTATACATTTCCCGGATATTTTATAGATATATATATATATATATATATATATTATATTTTTATTGTTAACGTTTATATTTTATACGTAGGATTCTGGAGTTTTGTAGTACTTTTCTCTTTTGTGTTTCTGTGGAAAGCTACTCAATTTATATTTCTTTATCATTATCGCCACCTAGTGGCCAAAATTCTTTCTAGAGACACAGGTGTCAGTTAGACATGTTATATATGTTTTAATGTTCCCCATCTATGATCATTTCTCTTACTATGTTTATTGTTTTGTATCAAAATACCAAGGAACATTCCTTGAATGTGAAAACCGATATGGCCATTTACCTCATTCTGATTCAAATACATCATTATGGTTAAAAAGAAGTCAAGGCTCCTCCAAATGTGAGAAATGTGTCTTGTGTGTGCAATATACATGCAAGTGTATACTTTTAAGCGCTTTGAGCACCAGGAAAAGCGCTATATAAATGACATGTGTTATTACTATTATTATTATTATCATTATTATATAAGTGCAATATACCCTCCTGCAATTTCACGTTTATTTATGTATTTTTCTCTCAGTTTATTTACAATTGGCATTGTTTCCGATTGCTCTTTAATTCAATATGGTCAAAAATATATAAATATACCGCTACTTTCTTTTCCATAGAGTACATATCTGGTGTTCTGGTTTTGTTTTTGACTTAATGTGTTATTAATAACGGGCCAATACTTAGCCCTTTTAAAAAAGAAAACCTGTTGTAATCATGTACATTTCCCTGTTGCGGGACAAATAAAGGATTTCTAATCCTGATTCTGAAATCTGCTTTTTTTTAACATCTAATGTATATTTTAATGTAACTAAATATGCACCCCTTATTTTGTAACTTTTCAAGAGCATCATATTATAAATACAACTGTGAAACCTACATCGACACTGCACTTTGTTTTCCCCCTTCGGCAATTTCCGCAGATTCATCAATTTGTCAATTCCCCACAGTTGGGAACATTGACAGTACAGCTCTTGATTCCATTTGTTGCGAATAACACATTTAAAAAAAGATAGGACTGAGGTGATATCAATTTGGGGCACAATTAAAACAGCACTCCTGAAGGACAAGGTGACTTGGCAGTTATTGAAATGGCCCATGTGTGGAATTGATGAGGAATGAACTCTACATGTAATCAAGTCATGTCTCTGCGTAAGTGTCCTTGAACGAAAGGATCTCTAGAACTGAAAATGGGGTTATATACTTTTAAAAAGCTATCACCTTATTGAAAGACCTATTTATTGCACCCAATCCCAGAAAATATAATTGTATTACTATTAAATGTACAGTGTATTTGACAGTAACATGTGAACCACCCTCTACATTTACCAATAGCACAAATGACAAAACATGCATTCTATTATCATATTGATTTATTAGCAATTTAAAAAATCAGAGTGGGGGTTTTCAATTCCGCCAAGCCCATATATTTGATTATCTTTTGCTTATTGTAATAAATAAAATTCTACATGCACGGATGGCCACATCTTGGAAACAATGTGTATTTATGAAACCAAGTAAAACAAATTCTATGCAGAGGACAGTCTAATATATCTTTCTGTCCCTGTTTACTTTTGCAAATTTCCACATGGCTCACCCTCCCTCTCACTTTCATAACAGATGGAGAGAGAAGAGCCCTTTAAAGTTACTATATTTGTGACTTGTATATTTTTCACGACTAAATCCCAAGTGATAATCTTACCTGGACCGATCGGGACCTGTTGGAGCGGACCCAGGGCCTCATCCTTCCCCTAGTTCCCAGTGATGGATTAGACCTTGAGTGACCTGGACCCCCAGCAGCCTGAGATGCTGATACCGGAACAAGCAGGTGAGCCACAGAGCGTCAGATTCACTGTCAGCCTCAGAGAACTCAGGCAGAAAGAGAGCGGAGAGCAGAGAGCTGCTGCTGAGATGGCAAAATAATCGATGCTGGAAAGAACAACCGGAGCAGCAGTCCATATTTCCATGGATTGCAGAGCCTGTTCTGAACACTGTGTTACAGAGAACAGCAGCATCATTATCACCACTGCCCGGTCAGCTGAGTATAAACCTATTAGAGGGAAAAAACACAACATGTGGAATTGTCAATACATCTAATGGGCTATGGAAAGAGGGAGGAGGGGTGAGTCGGTTTCTGTTGCTTTCTACATTTGTATTTGTGGAGGAAATTTCTGAAGCAATTGGAAACAGGAGCTTTGATGGCAAACACTGACGGTTTATTTGGAGCTTCGGCCGGAGAATTCACAAGACATGTCACGGGCCACGATCTGACCACACGGTTGAGATGCCACAATCAATTCTGAAGAACTCTACCCCAGACCCGTGTATTTAGCTAGTTCTGAGAGAATAATCAACATTGTGCATAACAAGATAGAATCATAACACCTCTATCAGCTGACGCCAACAGGCAGGAACAGGGAGACAAAGCACTGAGAGCACAGCAGCCAAGGTAACAGGTGCGTGTGCTCAGTCAGGACAGTATGAACTGATACACTGGGTCAAAGTTATGGGCCTTGGGAAATATTTCCCCAACAGTATGTGTGTGTGTGTGTGTGTGTGTGTGTGTGTGTGTGTGTGTGTGTGTGTGTGTGTGTGTGTGTGTGTGTGTGTGTGTGTGTGTGTGTGTGTGTGTGTGTGTGTGTGTGTGTGTGTGTGTGTAGTTAGTGATTTGTGCTGATCTGAGCACGTCAGCAGGGATTGATCCAACAATGTCTCATGTTGACCCCAATCACATCAACAAAAAAACACACATATTTGTGTACTTTAATACCCACTTCCTACCAACACAGGTCCTCACATTGTTGACATTATGTATTCCCCAGCTTTTTGAGTGTAAGCATCACAACTACACACTTCACCACCACCCTAACACAACAGTAGCCTAACTTTTACACTAAAGCCAGTAATTGACCCTTAAACCACCTGTTAAAGAAGTGATGATCTCAATTTCCAACACCACTTGTATAAAATAATGTATGGAAGAAAATACCGGCAAAAAGAAACTGATAAACGCTGATTGCATTATTTATGACTTATGTGTATTATCTTGTTATATTTTTCTGAGTATTTTGTGTGTTCATCTGCCACATGAAAATGTACAGGCACAGGCACAGGCACAGGCACAGGTACAGGCACAGGCACAGGCACAGGCACAGGCACAGGCACAGGCACAGGCACAGGTACAGGCACAGGCACAGGCACAGGCACAGGTACAGGTACAGGTACAGGCACAGGCACAGGCACAGGTACAAGTACAGGCACAGGCACAGGCACAGGCACAGGCACAGGCACAGGCACAGGCACAGGTACAGGTACAGGCACAGGTACAGGCACAGGCACAGGCACAGGCACAGGCACAGGCACAGGCACAGGCACAGGCACAGGTACAGGCACAGGCACAGGCACAGGCACAGGCACAGGCACAGGTACAGGTACAGGCACAGGTAAATGTAGGTTACAGGAAAAGGTGGCTGGAAAGCAGACATAACAACAATTTAAAGTCTGGGAGGGGATGAGAGGAAAGGGCCCTGTGATATTCTGCAGGGCTGATGAGAGGAAGTGGGAACAGGTGAGGATGTGGATGAGAGGATCTGGTGAAAGAAACCGTCTGAGGCCCTCTGCTGGATGGATGGAGTATGGCACTGAAGGCCCCTTGGGAAGACATTACATTACATTACACTACATATCATTTAGCTGAAGCTTTTATCCAAAGCGACTTACAATAAGTGCAAAAACCATAAAGAATCAAACTCCGAACAACAAGGAAAGTGCAGATATATTCACTTCAAGCAAGATCATACCATAGTAAGTAGACTTTTATTGATAAAATAAATATGTAGAATGTAGTTCTCTTCTTGTTGCTATTGAGGACCAGCCTACTCTTGATCTTTCCGGAAGAAGCCTTCTATTGACAGACTGTCTGATGTGGTTTGTCAGTGTGCAACGTGAAGTGACATGTGTGTTTTGTCGCTCTTCTCAGAAAGGTCCTTTCATAAGCACACCTTCCTCTGCTACGGATAAACCATTCTTACACAGTGACAGGATCATTTAGTACGACAGTATATCTGCAACAAAACACTACAAGCTCTGCCTTCTCATCAGTGGTGAGTTTTGATTCAAGTACAATTACAATTGTATAACAAAGCAAGAGTAGTGCTTAGAAACGTATTTACTGAATAGAGCTTTCATAATTTTGATCAGGGTGATTCATTTCAAAGCAAATGATGATGGTTAAAGGAATACAACAAACAACAATGTAAAACACAATCTATTCATCAAATATATTGTAGCAGAGATTACTCCTGGAGATCCAGAAAAACATATATTGGTATAATTTACCTAAAAACCAGTAATAGCAATATACTTTATTAATTAAGCTCTTTTTAGGTCAAAGACGCTTTACAAAATAAAATAAAAGTGAAAATAAAATCAAGCTCACAGAAACAATAACACAGAGACACAACATTAATAACACATTAAAAGTCAGTCTAAGTACCAAGATGTAATCATTGTTTGGGTTTATAAACAGAGTTGTAAAGTTTTAACTCTCCATGTTTTACATTTGGTTTCAGCCTGAGCCACCATGCTGGCAGCCATGACGCTGGCCTCTCTGAGCCTCTGGGTGTTGGCGTCTGACCTCTGCCCCCCTGTCTGCCAATGTCTCCACAACCTGACCACCATCATGTGTCAGGACATAGGCCTGCACCAGATACCTGAGCTGCCAGAGAGCACAGAGAAGCTGTACGTCTCCTACAACAACATACAGGAAATACCCAGACATGGGCTGGAGGAGCTGCAGGTACGAAACACAGAGCAGCCTGAAAGTGTACTTTGTGGTTTTTGGTTTTGAAAATAACTTTCCCATGTCTTCATGTGTCTGTACAGTAGTGATAACCTGTAGCAAGACTTGATGAATAAAACCTTTATTGAAGAACCATACTGGTGGTTTAACATGAACAAGTATAGCTAACATCAAGTAACTTAAGCAGACAATATTTCTGAACTTATTATTGGACATTAATTCAACTGTAAGTTAATGTTTTCCATGCTTTCAAGAGATAGTCGAACATTTTAAGAAATTCATTTTCTTGCCCCTGGTTAGATGAACATATACTTTCATATTGTATGTGTACGTTTAATATGAAGCTACAAACAGCAGGGCTTAGCTTAGCACAAAGCCTGGGAGCTAAGATATGTTTCCTGGGGCTGTCCAACAGAAACAAAATCTGCTTATGGACACACCAAAAATGCACTTATTAACACGCAAAATCTACTTTATTAAATTAGTAAAATCTCCAAAGTGTTAAACCAACAGTTTGTTGCCTGACTATTTCTGGGATGGTACAGGTTGCCAGAAAGCCAACAGAGACTACAGGAAATGTTCCTGACATGAAATACTCTGGCTCATAACCCCCAGTAACCCAGGACATATTTTTATAAACAAAATATGCAATAACTAAAATGTACCTTTTAATTTTTCTATTGTGATGTATCATCCTACATAACAAAAAAATACAAGTTTATTTTATATGATAAATATATAAACATGTATTTTAAATGAAACATAAAAACTCACGAGTCTTCTCTTCTTCCTGGATATTATGTAGGTCCTGGATCTGACTATGAATCAGATGGAGTCCTTCCTATTCCTAAACCCAGTTTGGCCCAACATGACCAAGCTCTCTAAGCTCTTCCTACCCAACAATAACCTGTGGCTTCTGAACTCGGATCAGTTCCTAAATTGCCCCGTTCTTACCTTACTTGACCTGAGTCGGAACAAGATCGGACATATACCGACCGGATTCCTCCTTGGATTAGCTCAACTAGAGACGCTGGATATGAAATTCAACCAGATTCAAAAGTTACAGGTTGGGGTATTGGAAGGTGCCTTCAACCTAACTGACCTCAACCTAAGCCATAATAATGTATCCAACTTAGAGCAAGGTGTGTTCAAAAACTCTGCTGTGTTAGAAAAGCTTGATCTGTCCAGTAACAGAATCACAAGTATTGGTGAGGGCACATTTAGAGGAGCGACAGGTCTCCAACACCTGGACCTGAGTGGCAACATGCTGACCTCTCTGTCTGAGGGATCGCTGAGAGGCCTGACCATGCTGAGTGAGCTGGACCTCAGTCGCAACCTCATAGATTCTCTGCCCTCAAAAGTCTTCAATGACCTGATAGGCCTTGAGATACTTGATTTGTATGGTAACAGACTGACATCTCTTCCTCTTGACATATTCAGTAACCTGAAAAACCTCAAAGAACTGCAGCTGGAGAGCAATCAGATCTCTGCCATTCCAGATGGGGTATTTCATTCGTTGTCCAGACTCAAAGAGTTACAGCTTTCAAAGAACTGCATCCTGGAGCTCCACCCTGCTCTGTTCAAGAAGCTCAAATCACTGCAGAACCTGGACTTGGACAACAACGCCCTGAGGCACCTTCCCAAAGGCCTTTTCCACAAGACGAGGGTCATCAAGGAGATACACCTCGATGACAACCACATCAGGTCCATACATCACTCAGTCTTCCACGGTTTAAGAAGACTACATTTACTGAAGCTCTCTCGCAACCATCTCACCTCTCTACACCCAGACCAGTTCAGAGACCTTATCAGTTTAAAAGAGTTACATCTAGATGCCAACCACATTGGAGACTTTCCTACAAGCCTGTTCATGAATCTAACAAACCTTATAACTCTGGATCTGGACAATAACAGTATCTCAGAGCTTTCTCCTGATGACTTTGTAGGGTTGACATGCCTTAAAGAGCTCGGGTTGAGCTTCAATCAGCTCCATGACATCCCGTATAACACCTTCTATCCCCTCCACCTTCTCCGCAAGCTTCAGCTAAAGAACAACAGCCTGGAGAGTTTACACCTTCAGCTCTTCGCCCGACTTTCGAAACTAACAGAACTCAACTTGGATGGAAACAAGCTGGATCGCCTGCAGCCTGATGTATTTCAAGGACTTACAAACCTCCAGAGATTGAGTTTGAAGTCCAACCAGCTCAGCGCAATGGAGAATGGGACTTTGGGGCCTTTGGGAAACCTAAGCTCTGTTCATCTGTCAGGTAACCTGTGGGACTGCACCTGTGCACATGTTCTCTACATCAGCCGCTGGGTCAACATGCACAGCGATAAGCTTGGAGACCAGCCCCTTTGCTTCTTCTCCTCTTCTTCCTCACCATTAACTATTGATACACCTCTTTCTCAGGCAGCTCAGTCTCCCCAGCTGTTACAAGATCAATGCATTACAAGAGCTGCAAGTGGCTCATCACTGTCATTTCCTCTAGAAATGCTGAAGCTGTTCACAATCTCTCTCCTAGCTCTCAGCACACCGTGACATCCTCTGTGGTGGTGTTGCGTTCTCTAACTCTTCTGCCCGCTCTCGCTTTTCATGTCTGCTCTTTGTTCTCAATATACTGTAGTGGTGCAAATCAAATGGCCATTGTGCACTGGATTCATTATGCAAAAGTTCAATATTAACATAGATCTTGCAAAAATGTTAACTTAATGATTTCATTGACAATAAAATGTAGAGCTAAGGAATATAATGTGTATATAAGTATGTATTATTTGGTAGTCTAAATAAATCGTACAGCTTACATTTTAAAGTAAAGCCTCAACATAAATTAGCATCTGATTTGCATCAGCTCTGGGTTTTAATCATGGTGGCATTAAGATTTTGATTGAAGGTTTTTAAAGTTGTAACTGTAAACCAGTCAAAAATAGACCTTTAAGAGACTTTTAAGCATTTAAAAGTTCTCCAATGCATTATTAAAGCAATACAAGAAAAAGCTCAAATGATTTAAATAACAATGTTTTATCACTTTGACACACAAAGTTGAGATATAACAAATATCCACTCCACAAGAGAGGTAACAGATGACACATTCTTACAAAATCCCTGTTTGGGTATCTCCACCAGCACATTGGTTGTTTACTGCACAGAAGGCAACGTTGTTTCCAAAAGTCACAGTTGTATTTTTTAATCTATTTTTCTATTGGAGATCATTATAAAAAAAACACACAAAAAAGAATCACTCTTCAAATTGGTCGTGCAACTTAAATGTGTTTGTTAAAAGATTATAATGCTGCAGTCACACTTTTAAAGCTTCAATCAGGGTCGTAATTCAACATCCGTCGGCTAAAGACTGCCTAATATTAATTGTGGAGGGTGAGTGTTTTTGTTATATGGAGATAGATTTGTCTCAATATTATTTGTGTGAACACATTGGTTACCGTGTGTAATTGTGAAATCTGTAAATGTAAATCCCCACAAAAGTGTTTCCAAACTTTTTTTTGTTGCATTTGTGGACAGTGTTTTACATTCACAGATTACACATTGACATACGGATTATCCATCTGTTCACACAAATAATATTGAGACCTGGTCAAACTAGGGAAAATGAAAACAGCTTGTAAATGTTTAAGTCATTCAAGCCATTTGCCACATAAATTGGAGAGATAAAAACGTACGTTTTCTAAGGCCTGGACGGCGGATTTTAAATAAAATGTGTTTTAACTCTTTGTTGTACAGCAGTATCCAGCTTCAAATCATTTGAGCTGATTTTATAATGGTGCTTACCTGAACCTTTTTTCGACTTTAACTTAAGGCTGTTAAATTACAGTTCCACAAATCCAAACCCCACACTGCATTTATCCTCAACATTTTAATTGAGGGTAGCTTTGAATCTGGAAAACCAATCTTTTATTATCCATCCATTCATGTATTCCTCTTTGGTTCAGGAAACCCTATGTCATCGTCCTCTTCACAGTTTAGTCTTTAGACGTAGAAACACTTGTGGTCCTTCAGGTTCCTCAGGTAGGAGAAACTCTTCCCGCACTTGTCGCACATGAACTGTTTCTCCCCGGTGTGTATCTGCTGGTGTGCTTTCAGGCTATTTCCCTGGTTGAAGCTGCGGCCACATGTGTCACAGCTGAACGGTTTCTCCCCGGTGTGGATGCGCTGGTGTCTGTTCAGGTTCCCTGTGTTGCTAAAACACTTCCCACATGTGTCGCAGCTGAACGGCTTCTCTCCCGTGTGGACAACCTTTGGAAAAGAAGATAATTCAAAAGACTTTAATAATTTCCATATGTAAGATTTACAATTGTTAAATCATGAATAAAGATTTATATCAAATCAGGCTTCATGCGAGACATGTTTCTTATTCTAAACCTGAACCGAAATGTTGCTCTTACAAGTGTTTCAGGTCATATTCAGCAAATTCTCTTTCAATACACCTGCTCATGAGGATGTCCTTCTTTGTCCCTGTTTTTAGGGACATTTCATTGATAATAATGTTACCACATCCTAAAAGGAAAAATTCCACACTAAAGAGCTTCAAATTCTGCGGTCATAAATAAGCCAACAACAACATTCATTTGTCAGCGTCAGAACATACACAGGATCCAGAAAACGGACAAAACATTAGTCGTACAGCTGTCAAAAGTGTGTTGTCAGAGCATGCCTGTTCTATGACATACATAAAAAGAAACAGGTTTCTAGTTTATACAACCAGCATCAGGCTCAAATGGCAACAGGAAGTTGGTGTGTTGCATCTGTAAGTACCCAGAAGAGCAGAGTCAGCGCTGCGGTTTTTTCTATTTCATCTCAACATGAGGTCTGTGGGCTATATATATATATATATATATATATATATATATATATAGTGTGTGTGGGAGAGAAACTCCCTCTGGAGGAAACACAGGGATTTTATCCTTTGGATACCATTTACATGCACAAAAACCTATAGAACATATGCACTACAGGAGAGGGAAAACCCCCAAAAGCATCAAACGGCCCCTTTAGGAGCATTTCTTCACTCTACTTGGCACTTTAGTTGAACAATAGCTAATGCAGACCCACCTGATGTGATTTAAGGCTGCTGTGCTGTGTGAACATGCGTCCGCAGATGTCGCAGGAGAAGGGCTTCTCCCCGCTGTGCGTCTTCAGATGAATCTTCAGGTAACTGGACGACTTGAAGCTCTTCCCACAGAGCCCGCAGCTGTGCGGCCGGTCCACCGTGTGGTGCTGCTGGTGAGAGCGCAGGTCTGTGATGGAGCTGAGCCGCCGGCCGCAGATCACACACGTACAGGGGATGGTGGCCGCGTGGGTCTGGAGGTGTTTCCGGAGCGAGTCCACGCAGGTCACCGTGGTGCTGCACGCCACGCAGGCCAGAGACCTCTCCCTGGAGCCTGGGTGGGAGGTCTTCTGGTGCATCTTCAGGGCACTCTTCTGGATGAAACACTTGCCGCAGGTCTCACAGCTGAAGGGGCGCTCCCCGGTGTGGATCCGCTGATGGCCTTTCAGAGTGTCCGCCTGGTTGAAGCTCTTGCCACAAGTCTCACACCTGAAGGGCTTTTCCCCCGTGTGGATGCGCAGATGGCGCTGCAGGTTTCCTTGGATGGTGAAGCTTTTGTTGCAGTACTGGCAGTTGTAGGCCCGCTCCCCCGTGTGGACCATCTGATGCATCTTCAGGCCGTGTGCTCGGTAGAAGCTCTTCCCGCACTGCTCACAGCGGAACGGCCGGACCTCGGCGTGCAGGCGCTGGTGGTTCCTCAGCAGCTGCTTCAGAGTGAAGCCCTTCCCACAAACATCACAGGTGTGTGGTCTCTCACCTGTAGATGGATAAGATTAACAGAATATGACATTGTCAAAGGTTATATGTTTTCTAAAGCTACCCTAATAGACATTTTTATTAAAACACAATTATCCCTGGTCAGCATCTCTAGTGAGTTTTAGACCCTTTTAGCTCATTGTTTCGGATTTATGACACTATACTGTATGGTTTTGTCTCATCTCACTCGTTGACCCCCATTTTGATAAACCAGATAAATGGCCTAGAAAAAGTGAAACCTTTAGTGCTAGTGAGAATTGAACATATTTATATGTGGGTCAGCAACAGAACTCAAAATGAATCCTTATATCACTGTGTCTGTGTAAATACGTTTCCTATGTGTGTTAATGTTGATATTCCTCATCAAATCTTTATAAGGCATTATTATTTTCAGTACAACAACCATAGACTATAAAAGAATATATTGGAAGTAGTCACCATGACATCACACATTAGTGTGGTAACTACAGTTTGGAAGCCTCTAGTTTGGCCTTTTAGCAGTCGCCATATTGGTTTTTTGGAACCAGACACAAGAGAATGTTGATGAAGATATTTTTAGGCAACAAACATAGTGTGAGGAAGCGCACACACTCCCTCACTAACATTTTGGCTTAACAATTTGTTTGTTAAGAAAGGTAGTACATGTTTCTTCAGAGTTGTCTTTATTTCAGTTAAAGTTATAAAAACAGTTTAACAGTTTAAAACTAGTAAAGTGCATCTAAATTAATTTGTCAGTCTGTAAAACACACAATCACAAAGTAATCACCATTTCCTTTGTTCAGACCTGGAAGCCATTTTGTGTCACTGCTCAAAGGGGGAGCACACCTCCAAAGTACTCCTTATATGTGCCGTATGAGTAGGCGGAGTCTTGGACGTGATTGGTCAGGAAATGTGTGATTTTATGAGTGTCAATTAGGTTAAAGACTATCCGTTTTAAGCAGAACTTGTTGTTTTTGAAGGTACAATGTTTATGTTGATGCAATTATGAATTTACTTAAGCCTTTAGGATTGTATTAAATGTAGACCACAGTGTTTAATTTTGTATTTAACCCTTCACTCCGCTTTCAGAACCATGACCTGATTGGCCAGGTTGGATTGGGAAGGCGGGCAGTCTACTATAAATGTGGTTGGGAAGAGAGGGGAAAGGGGCATTTGGTGTTTGTTCCTTGCTGGTGAACGCAGCACCAGGCATGCAGTTTTTGTTTCTGTGGAATAATGTGGAAGGCTAAGAATAAAACGCCTGTCTATTTTTGCAAGAAAACCCTCTCTCCACGTATCGTTCTTTCACCTGCACCTCACTTTGTAACACATAGTTTGATTACCTTTCATTAACTGAAAACACATTGTGTTTTTGTCTTTAAACTTTGAGCTTTTCACAACACCAGGACACGGAAGCAGCGACCTGTCAATCACAACATAGCCCTAAAGCAGGGGTGTCCAAACCACGGCCCGGGGGCCAACTGTGGCAATTCTAAAAGTAATATTATATATATATATATATATAATGTAATATGGCCCACACAAGAAACCTGTGCTTTTCCTATATTGTACTTCTTAAATATAAATGTAAACTGATTTTAAGCAGTATAATTCATGTGTTAATTCGTACACTTTCAAATAAATATTTTAAAACAAATCTTAGTTGATAATAAAAAGCCCAATAACTTATTTGCCTAACAAGCTTGAAATATACCCTTGATATTTCCCCTTATTGTCCGGGCTGTGAAGGAAGACTGAGAAGCAATCTTAGGCTTCTGTTTTAAGGGATGAGCTGCCAACACTTTTAGTAACGAAGTAAATGAAACCCTATGGAGAGCTGTGATGGAGGATGTTTTTTTTCTTCAAGCATGTTCAAATATCAAGCATAATGTACCTACATTTGATTGATTTTGCTTACTTATTACTTAACTTATGAGGTAATATACCTCACTTCTAGTGAGGGGCCCAGCCCTTCGTAGGTTTTTCTGTATGTGGCCCTCAGTGAAAAAAGTTTGGACACCACTACCATTCCAGCCTATTTTACTCTAAATGGGACTATAATTTACAAAATGATCATGCTGTTATGAAAACTTGTAAACCAGCAGTTGAGACCATAAACTGATCGGTAAATGTTTACAAAGTAAAGTAATACATCATGTCAGAAGTTGGCCCCCTGCTGCTCGTTTGAAAGAATGCAGGTTTAAGGCGTTTCTGCACTGGCTTTTCTTCTCAGACCTGTCCATCAGCTCGGTACTTCACTCACCTGTATGAAGCAGCATGTGAGCGTTGAGGCTCCGCTGGAAGGAGAAGCCTCTGCCACACTGAGAGCAGCAGAAAGGCTTCTCTGCGTTGGTCCCGTGCGCAGCCTGGTGGGCCTTCAGGTGCAGCAGCTTGGTGAACGTCTTCCTGCAGAGTCTGCAGCTCAGAGGCTGCTGGTTCTGGTTCTCCTTCTTCGCTCTACCTCGTAGGGACTTTGGCTTAACAACACGTCTAGGTCTGGTAGTTAATCCTGGGTCACCGTCATTTGGATCGTCTGGCTCCATCTAACAGAAGAAATTAAGACATTCTTGATTCATTGCCTCTAAACTCACTGTTGCTTTACTGTTTTTGGTGGTAAGCTCCACTAACAGGTGTAGTTCATTATATTCTCAACATAAACTGCTACCCACACTCACATTAACAGTAGGGGCAATTCAAAGTCCTTTCATCATTTCGAAATAGATGGAATATGTGTGTATATTAAGTCATTTACTTTATATATACATGTCAAAAAAAAATCTACAAACAGAAAATAAAACATTAAATGAATGAAGGATTTGTAAAAGCACCTGGTAGTCTGGGTCGTCGTCATTGTCCTGGCCCGGCTCTTCTCTGTACTGACCGGAGTCAGAGGACGCCTGGTCGGCCAACGCCTCCAGTCCTTCCTCCTTTATTATCACTGGTTGGACACTGTCCTGAAAGGAGAGAATGTGGACATGAGTCAAAAGATGGTGTCTGGGTGCCTGGGTAACTTACAATAAACATACACAATACACACCATTTGTTTTGTTTAGTTTAGTTTATTTGTTTATAGTGTCGTGTACAGTCCCCATTGATCAACTGTCACAAAAAAACAGTAAATGGGGCAGCTTTAGCCAACATTGCTCATTTCCAGCTGTTGTCCCCAGCCAGATGATAATAAACACCCTTAAAATCACAATATATAAACAGCATTAGTTATCAAAAAAGGATGAAAGGCAAAAGGATAAAAGAGAACAATAAACAACACACGTTACTACATACAGTACATGTCACATAGCACATCACAATCACACAACAGGGGGGCAACATCCATGATCACAACATGTAACACAACATGTAACACACGCCATATCCAACACAGACTAGTGTGTGCAGGTGTAGTTCTCTGTGAACCATGTTTTTAAGTGAGCTGTGAAGGTGGTATGTGTATGTATGTCTTTGATTTGAGTGGGTAGAGAGTTCCAGTTTTGTATTGCTGTGACCGAGAATGATGACTGACCAAAAGTACTCTTCCTGAATGGGACTGAAAGGTCACCCGTGTGGAGCTTGTAGTGGTCAGTCTGGTGTTGTTACGTTGAGTAACCAATAGGCGCGTTCACACCGGAGTACTTTTCCCACAATAGTTCATCAGAACTACGATATATTTGCGTTCACACCAAAAAGCCCCAGGAACTAAAGTAGTTCAAATTAGTTCATCTGACCCGCTTTTCAGTCTCTGCTAGAGAGCAGGGACTGTCGTGGGAGAAAATAGTTCATACGTCTGATTGGCTGTGTGGAATGCAAACCACGCCCCGTTTAACTCTGACATTTTTTTTGGAGCGGCCATTGTATTTGCTGGCATTATTAGCCCAGCGCACCAATGAGAGTACTTTTGTGAAAGCAGTTATTATGGCAACAATAAGAATACGAAAATCATCGGAGCGGTGGAGTGATGAGGATGTGTCGGCACGTCTGGCGATTTACTCGGAGGATGGGATCCAGCAGCTTCTACTGAAGGCAGTTTCCAACTGCAAAATGTATCAGCGTTGTTCGGTAAAGTTAGCCGACATGGGAATCTTCCACAGCGCACACTCATGCCGGGACAAAATAAAGAAACTAAAGCAGGACTACAAACAAATAAAAGACCATAATAACAGTGGTTAACGGCCGGAAGACCCGTAAATGGTATGATCGATTGAATGCTCTGCTCGGCGACAGACCCTCATTCTCCGGCACTTGTGGTGAAACGGCGGATTCAGTGGCCTGTGAATTGTCCAACGACGACTACTACGAAGGTAAAATAAACTACATGCACTGCACTGTTTTAATCTGCACAATACTGGTCTCAGATGTACCATAATTTTCGGACTATAAGGCGCACCTGAATATAAGCCGCAGCAGCTAAATTGAATGATGTGTACATATATAAGCCGCACTGGACTATAAACCGCAGGTGTTTTAATGTTTAATTACCATATGTAAGGGTTCGTGCACAGAGGGGATTGTCGGGAAAGAGATGGCTGTTTGAGGAAGCTCCCATTTATTAACATTTCAACAAACAAGTTGCATATTTGCATAACGTATTCAAGTGTTACCATTTAGTGCAATAGTAGCTACAGAACATGTACTGTGCTGTGTAAACTGTACTGTATCACATAGCGTTTCAGACACACAAACTTTTCAACTTTCAAACTTAAACGGTGCGCTCCCAGCGTACCGGCAGTGATCTACAGCAGTGGTTTTCAACCAGTGGTACGGGGACCACCAGTGGTCCTTGAGGGAGTGCTAGGGGTTCCCCAGCAAAATTAGTTAATAGCGTCACAATCATTTAGGTGGACTGTAACCTGTAAAATCCATAGATTTAGGAGGTCCCCTAGTGGCCGTTAGCTGTAAAAATCCATAGATTAGCCGCACCGTTATATAAGCCGCAGGGTCGAAAAATGGGAAAAAAGGCGCGGCTTATAGTCCGAAAATTACTTTACTTTTATTTGCTCAATAGATCGAGCTAGCCATGCTAGCCAGAACTGGCTAACACTGCTAGCCAGTTCAGCCTAGCAATAACATCATTCTCGGCCGCTATGAAAACGTTTTTGACTTGTGAATAAGTGTGTAATGTTTTCTGTAATTTGCTTCACTAACTCATGGCACTAATCGTGTGTTTCAGGCGAGGCAGGACAACTCTCTGGATTGGAAACAAGTGAGCTTTCCCCTCCGGATCACAACAGCAGCACTTTCTCGTCTCCTTTTCAACCATCCAAACGCAAAAGTACGTACAAACACACTGTAACTACTCTGGTCTTGAAAGAACGTTACACATCGAACTGATCTCCACTAATCACGTTTATTTCCTTCTTGGTACAATTATGAAACACCGTGAAAATACATCGTTTACACTTTTAGCGCCCTTTTCACTCTCATAAACATCCGGGCTAGAGGTCACATGACTGCCGGTAAGAAAACTTATCATTTTTGGACAAAGTTCAAGCGTACATTAAGCACTCTAAACAAATATAAAACAATAAATAAGGGCACTTTGAGCGTCAGCTATTTGATGCTATCTTATCTTCTACTTTACACCTGCATTTTGTACACTGTCCCTGTCTGCACCATGTCCAATGTTGTCTCTGTTGACAACCTACTAGGCAATTAAACTGATCTTGTATCTTGCTTATTTCACCTTAGGAAAGCGGGCACGGGATGACAGCTTCCTTGACACCATCATGGCGATGGACTGCCGTGCCATGGTCAGCAAGGAGAATGAGGACCTGCGTGCCAAGGAGATGCACGACGAACGGCTGCTGCATTCACACAAGGCCCAGGAATCGGACGACCAGCTGCTCATGGTGATGGCGCGCCAGGTGGAGCAACAAAATACCTTTCAGGCTGGGCTTCTGGCAGTGCTAAGCGAGCTGATTAAATCCAACAGGCCTTCAATACAAAAATTAAGAAAAACTTGTCGTCGTTGATAAACTGTACAATGACTTGTTGGGAGGCGTGTGGTGCAGTGGTCTGGTGCGTTGGTGTTCGGATCAGGGGAGCACAGGTTCAAACCCCACTGCAGTCAGGATGTCGTTGTGTCCCTGGGCAAGACACTTCACCCCAAATTGCCTACACCTGGGACAGTTAATTTTGTATTATTGTGATTATATATATATGCCACTGTTATTAATACTGACACCTAACTTTGCACTAAGGTGTGTCTGCTGCTGAGCCTACCTATTGTTATTATATATATATATATATATTGCCACTTTATACTTTTTATATTGTTTTGATACTACTGACACTTATTGATCTGCTGCTGATAAATGAAAGAGAACCTACATGGCGATTAAACAGATAATGTATCTTGCTTATTTCTCCTCTGACACTTTATCTTTACAGTGACCTGTGTAGCATCCTATACATCACATGTAAGTGATTATACTGATACCATCATGTTTTCATCGGTTATAAACTGGCGAAGCTTTATTTATTGTGTCCCACCCCAAATATGTGGCTTTGAAAAAGATCATTTCATTGTATTTCAAAATGGCGTCCATCAACACAAACACTATATATAGAAAGAGAAATGGTTAAGTTTGTAATTACCAGTGTTGTGAGTTCAATATTTTAATTAATTATAGTAAGGGAACATTTTAGGAGTTAGTGTACTGAGTTCCTCTCAGGAGGATATATAATAAAGTTAAAGTGTTAACTGCTGAGCCTATTTACTGTGCAATACTTTTTTCCATAATCAGTTTTATTCATTTAGATTATTATGGACCTCTAAAACACATCTGCCACATCATTTGAGTTTTGACATACCACAACCAGCCAGCCAGTCTTAACTTTCATTGTTATCCTAACCCTCATAGAGAAAGAGATACAGACATGTGGTGTGTTGTCTTTTTTCACCTGTATGGTGCGGTTCTGGGCGACAACACACAGTGAAGATGATCTGCTGCACGGCACTAGCATCATGACTGTCTTTGTTTAAACCAGCAGCAGTGCAGCGGTACTAACCTGTGTGTGTGTAACGTAGTTACAGTAAAGATGGTATACAAAAGCTTTTTAAAGAGCTTTCAACCTCATCCCATTGTCTTTAACACACATTTAACATAATATACTCATATTAATATACAAATATACAGTATGAGTACTGTTTTGATACTGACATTTTATCTTTGCACTAAGGTGTGTCTGCACTATTGTAATTGTGTCTGTTGACTGTGGTAAATAAAAAAGAGAACCAAATGCACTGTACAAAAGATCAGCTTTATTGTCAATTTACATGCTGTTCAGATGCCTCATAAGGGCTGTGCGCGTGTCTTGCCCCCAGGCGATTTTTTTAGGCACGGATACATACTCCCGGTAGTTGGTGTTGCGTCTCCCCAACGTTGCTTCCAGGCGAATACAGAGGAGTTGGAAAGAGCCCTTGCTCTTTGATCCACTGCACATTGGTGTACGTTGGCACCACCTTCTCCCACCAGGCCGATGTTCTATTGTTCACCCAGAGAGAGCGCGGGACACGACGCGTTCCGTAGTATTCGCATATCTGGAACACATACAAAGACACAAATTAGCCCTACATAACTCCATAAATCCTACATTAGATAGTATTAATGTGATTTAATGAACGTACCATTGCTGTTCTTTGGGCGTGATAACGGTCATCATCCTCAGCTGTCCTACGGCGAAACATGTCCATAGCGTGTGCTTTTCCTGGTCCAATCCTTTTGTTAAGGCTTCTTAACCGCCTTCGCCTCCGACTCAGCATTTCTATTGCATTTGAATGGTCGATCTGTATTTGTATTTGTGGCTGAGTTATTGGCTTAAATAACTCCGTTACGAAGCTGTATAACACGAGCACCAAAACGTCAACTCCATACCGTGTCTGAGGTCGGAAGGTAAACAGAAGCATACAGCGGAAGCGGACGTTTTTTCTTCTTCTTCTTCTCTCGGTTTTTTGGCGGATTGCTACTTTAAGGTGCATACCGCCACCTACTGTACTCGCCGTGAAGTTGTTTGCGGCCTGCCAGTAAACCCAAAGCAGAAGAAGAAGAAGTGACGTCAGCGGCTCATTTGCCTAATCCACCCCCAGGAACTCATTTTGGTGTGAACGCGATCTGCTTTAGTTCATCAGAACTATAAGAGCTCTCATGAACTAAAGTTCTCATGAACTATTGTGGGAAAAGTACTTGGTGTGAACGCGTTAAGAGGTGGAGGGGCTGTATTGTGCAGGATTTTTTACACCAGAACGATGTTCCTATACTTTATTAAATCTTCCCAACTCAGAATGTTATGCTTGTTGAGGATGGTACAGTGATGGGAGCGGTTAGGTTTCTGGTCCAGTACTTTGAGGGTTTGTTTGTACAGGGTTGCTAGTGGCTTCAGTGTGGAGCTGTTCGTTTGCCCCCAGCTTGTGAGACAGTATGTTAAGTGTGACATGATCATGGCATTCATGTATCATTTGGTAGAATTAAATGTCATGTGTTTCTTATGTATTTAAAATTGGCTAGGCTAAACTTTACTCTTTGGGTCACTTTTTTGACTTGTGTTTTGAATGTTAGATTAGAGTCAATAATGATTCCCAGGTACTTAACCTGCGGCACAATATCAATATTTTCACCTGAGATGCTTATATTTGACACAATGTTGCATTTTCTTTTTGTGAAAAACATTCGCACTGTTTTATTTACATTAAGCTGAAGACAGGAGCGGTGTAGCCAGCTAGTGATCAGCACTAAAGCTGAGGTCAGTTTATCAGCAGCCTTTTGCTTTGTATTGGCATGCACATATATCACGGTGTCATCGGCATATAGCTGTGTTTCCACATCAGGACAGACAGATAGCAGCAGAGTTCCCATTAGCCGGTAATTACCGGACTATGACCGGTAAAATATGCTGAAGACCGGCAAATCTAAATCTCTCCGGTCAAAATGATTTTCCCTTAGCGCAATACCGCATCAGTTGCGCCACTTATGTGACAGACAAGAATAGTATGTGACAGACAAAAGAGTATGTGACAGACAAGAATAGTCAATTATAATGTCTACACTTAATGTGGAGAAAGAGATGTCCTGTATGGGTTGATTGTGCGTTGATCTGTTGGTAATGCCTCGGGGTTCCGGTGGGCATGTAAACAAATGCATAATGCTGCGCTATACTTTGTGGCCTCACCCCGTTGCATAGCGACGCTTATTGTTTAGGTGTCTTTTAATAAGCAGGTAGTCATATCATTAGCTAGAACTAGCTAGATCTGATCGATATGGACATAAACGCGAGTAAAGTCTAATCTGACGGGAGAGATCAGCTGCTGCTGACGAGTCGACACGCATCTCTGCATGATCACCTGCAGCGGTGAGCGGAACAAAACACACACTTCAGGTTAGAATATCACACGTAGCTATTTTAATTACCTCTCAAACTACCTAAACTAGTTATAGATATGTTTAGTTTTACTGTCGGGTCACTCATTACTGGATCCGCGAGCTGCATGATACTGGCGGGCTGTCAGGAGAGGGGGAGAGCGCTCCGTTTATTATTCCCGTGTTATTGTAAATTACTGTACACGTTTGAATAGTTAATTAATCTACTATAATTAGTTTGTTTAATATCGAATCATATCAATTTGTTTCAAAGCTCAATAAATAACATAGAAGACCATTGACCGGCACTTTTCTAATTTTGTCCGGAAGATTTAAACTGTAATGGACATGTTGACCGGCAAATAATTATTCTAACGGGAACTCTGGATAGCAGGTCATTAATATATAAGGTAAAAAGAAGTGGACCAAGTATTGAACCTTGTGGTACTCCGGTGCTTAAGTCTAGAGCTGGAGAGAGTTGATTATTGACGATAACATGCTGACGCCTACCAGTGAGGTATGATTCAATCCAGTGACGTGCGGTGAGGTTCATGGCTGGTGAGGCACTGACTCACTGAGTCAGATTTACAAATATTATATTTTGACCTTAATCGAAATATTCGGTTATTTTCAAAAGCTTTTTTTAGTCTGATGCTTCGATTCATTTTAAACAGACCGTTCAACAAAAGGATACCCAAAATCTAAATATTGGATTGTTCTTTCTAAGTAAGATCCCATTTTCATTACAAATGTGGTCTTACCTTGACTTGAAGATGAAGTCCATGCTATCCTTCTGGACAACAATCTCTATTACTTTTTTGTAAAAGTCCTCCTTATCTTCCTGTAGTTTCAAAAGTCTAGTTTGTTGTTGCGTCTACCGTCTCTGCGTAGAATTACAGTAGCAACAATAACCTGTGGGCTCACGTGCGCCCCCTTCAGTGCGGCAGAGGTTATGGCTGCCTCCCTTGGTGCTTTTTCATTGCCGTTGTATGATGAGACCAGCGAGCCTAAATATCATATACAAGTGAAATAAGTTATTTAGAGACTATGGATGGCGAGGATAAATGTAATAAATGGATCTACAAACATTACATTGGTGACCTACAGTGAGATGGGAACAGGCATGCGCTTAGGGCCCGCTTTCCAGACAGTTTCTGTGGGGTGATGCATTCTGAGGTGAGGCAGATCTCATCTGTGCCTCACCTCACCCCACAGTAACTGGCTTGAGCGCGCTCACAAAATAAGTGTCCGCGCTAAATTAGTGCCCGTGCTCCAGCAAGTTACTGTGGGCTTACGTGAGGCAGTGCTCGTCCCTGCCTCACTTTTCATCGCTCCCGTAGCGGAGCTCGGCAAATTTGCTAATTTTGACTATAAAAAGCGATTAGAATCATACAGAAATCACATTTACACAAGATCAGTGGAGACATTTTATTATTATTACTATTTAGTTTTTCTTTAGTTGTTTTTCCGTTACATTGGAGTATGACAGGTGAGGCTCTGCCTCCCCTGCCTCCCCTGACTGCACGTCGCTGATTCAATCCAACTGAGTGTTAATGGAGAGACAGACAGAAGGACCTTATGGTTGATTGTATCAAAAGCTTTGCGTAGATCCAAGAATACTGCACCAACAACACCTCCTTTGTCTCCTTTGTAGTCCGGCAGTGGCTCAGTCAGTAGGGGCTTGGACTGGGAGCCGTAGGGTCGCTGGTTCAAGTCCCCGACCAGACCTAAATATGGAGTGTGGACTTCTACTTGGAGAGGTCCCAGTTCACCTCCTGCCCTGCCGTGGTGCCCTTGAGCAAGGCACCGGACACCCCCCTTCCCCCCCCCACTCCCATTGCTCCCCGGGCGCTGTACAATAGCTGCCCACTGCTCCTAGTACTAGACTCCTTGTACTAGGATGGGTTAAAAGCAGAGGCCAAATTTTTCACTGTGTGTGCTGTGTGCTCTGCATGTGTGACCATTAAAGAGGGTTTCATCCCTCCCTATTCTATTCTATTCTAACCATTGCTTTGACCTTTTCTATAAAAAAGCAGTTGGCTGTTTCGGTGGAATAATTTGCCCTGAAGCCAAACTGCATGGGATGAAGTTGAAATGGACTGTTGTTTAAGAAGGAGACAAGCTGTTCTGACACCCACTTCTCCGACACCTTGGATACTACAGGTAAGATGCTAATTGGACGGTAGTTGTTGATGTTCAGATGGTCACCTGACTTGAAAATGGCGGTTACAATTGCAGTCTTACAGGCACTTGGGAATGTCCCATGTTATACAGATGAATTGATCATTTGGGTAAGAGGTGCAGACTAGGTAATCTTGCAGTGATTTAAGCATTGCAGAATCCATAGAGTATGTGTCCTTAGCTGTTGAAGTTTTAAGAGAATTAATAATTGTTTTGGTTTATAATTCCGATATGGGTTGAATGCAAAAGGACATCTTACTTTTGTCTTTGATAATGTTTTCTGCTCTTAAAAGGAACATTCTGTGCAATCTCATCTACAGAGTTGATCAAATATGTATTAAAAGCTATGATAAATTGTTCTGAGTCTTGCACTAGGTTACCATTCTCTTTTAGTTCTAGCTGCTTTTCTGGCCTGTGCTTGATTCCCATCAAGGTTTTAATCTGTACCCAAATTATTTTAGTGTTAACTTTTGCCTCATAATTATTGTTATGAAGAAGTTGGCTTTGGCCTTTCTGATTGCTTGAGTTACTTTGTTATGTAACTAATGAGGTAAACGTATGCCTGTCAGTAGTTAGTTTAGTTGTTAACTTAAGGTCTAGCTCCTGTTTTTCATTGTTTGGTCGAGGCACCTTAAATCCAAATACACTTTTCTGTGCACAAACCCAGCGCCATAAAGAAACATTTCCCCAGTATAAACCCCATCCAGCACCTTTGGATGAAGTGGAATGCCACTTACGTTCTTGTGGCTGAATGAGAGCAAATCTCTGCAGCCAGATTCTGAAATGTATTGGTTTTACAGCAGGCAACATCTCTTTAGAAATCAATCATTAAGAAAAGATGGAAGCGTAAAAGGGAGACCAATAATAAAGCCAGTTCAAATGAAGATTTTCAGAAAATCTATACAAACAGCATGTTACCTCATATGTTCTGCCTTTCCACAGGTGGATTATAGGCGACCTCTGTACTCCAACATCTCCGCTAGCCCCTACTGTAAACATGGAGAAACAGGGGTTCAGTCTTTCTGTTTGGTTCATCAGACAACCTCCAATAAGTTCCAATTTAATCCAATTTTGGATGTGAAAACTCAAATGCAATCTTCCTATACTGTCGACAAAGTTAAGTGAAAATAAAAACACAAAACAAAAACAGTTAAGAAGAATCTACTGGTATTTTTATTCAAATTAACTTAAAGTTGTTAAGTTTAAAAAAACAAAAACAAATGAAAGTTACTGGTCTGTTCAGTGGTCCAGAGGGGAAAGAAGCTTTTAGATATTTGACTTGTGTATAAAGTAGCAATACTACGATGTAAGAATATTCTGTTATAGGTTTTTCCTGGATTCAAAATCCTAAAAATGTATAAGTTGATTGGAAGTTTAGATTGATATCTGAATCTGTATAACTAAAGCTACTAAATAATTTTAGTGGAGTATAACCATACATTTAAATAAGTAGCATATACATGACTCAAGTAAATTACAAGTACCTCAAAAACCTGTTTGTACAGCAGGTTCCCCACCTTGATTAGGCCCAAATGTACACTTTTTGCAAAAGGTGAGCTAAATATCAACAAAGTTTGCACTCAGTGTGTCATGAATAAAAAGAAGACAGGGATCACCTCTGCGACTCTTCCTCCTGGAGCGCTGGCTCTGCACAGGCTCTCCTTCTGCTCCGTTAGTCTCAGCCCTCCTGTCCTCCTTCACTACGCTGCTCTCCTCCTCCGTCAGCTCCTCCGTCAGCTCCTCCGTCAGCTCCTCCGTCAGCTCCTCTGTCAGCTCTTCCGTTAGCTCTTCCGTCAGCTCCTCCGTCAGCTCATCCGCTTCCTCCTGGCCTCCTCTGTCCTCTAGCACTAGCTTCAGCTCCGTCTCAGCCTCCTCCAGTCTCCTCTGCAGGTCCTCCATCTCTGAAACACCCTGTGTCACCTACAGAGACAAACCCAGGCTTTTTTTAAAGGTATCAGGACAAATGGAATGTGAGGACTTCATAGTCATCTGATTTTCCTCACATATTTTACAATACTGTATGGAAGCCCATTTCTGCCAGTAAAAGAAAAAAGAAAAAAACTTTGTGGTAAAAAGAGTCCTAAAATGTACTAATGACAAACTTTCTCTAAGTCCTACTGTAGGTTCAAGAATGTTTCTCCTCATTTTGAAAAATGAAAGCCCTAGTTTAAAAAACAAATCACATTGTTTCAACCTTTCATAACCTGGCGATATTTGTAAGATAATATCAAATAGTTTGAACACTGGTAAATATCCCTTTATGTTCATAGTATTAGATCTTCGTAAAGGTTATTGTAAACTTGTTCTAGTGGGTTGAATCATCTTTACCTGAAATGTGGTATTGCTAAAAAACACTTTCAATGTTAGTCTTCTCAATACAAACATACTGCTCATTATGTAACATTTAACTTATTTTTAGTGACAAAGAAACTAATTCAATCAAGACATTTTAGTTTAAACAGTTTCTTCTCACATGCTGAGATTCTTTTTGAATTGTTGATTTTGTCCAAAATCAGAATCAACACTTGCATGGCCATTATTGTGGGAAATCTTTAGCAAAGAAACAATGAGACGGTTTATCAATAAGTCAATCCACAGACATTTTTGTAAAAGCACAAATGCCCCAAAACAGCTGGTTCCAGCTTATCAAACGTCAGAGTTTACATCACAGTGAAATGTTCTGCTTTGGAACTATTCTTCGTAAACTGTTTGAGGCCCTATGCCTCGCAGAGAGAGACGTACCTCCAGCTGCAGCAGAGAGGAACAGTCGAGGAAGAGCTGGCAGATCTTCTCCACAGCTTCCTGAGCCAGAGACGTCAGGAAGACGCTGAACTGGATCACCTGAGGGAACACCACAGACACAAAACATCTTCTGATACATTTTAGAAGGATATAATGAAAGAATATAGGAGATTAATTAAAACAATATTGTTATAATCTTGTTTTATGATTTTTTTAAACTTTGGTAAACTCAACAAATGTTTGTTTCATGCTAACATGTAAATATTTTAACAATTTACCCTAAAAAGTGACTGAGTAATTGAAAAGCATTTTCATATGTCGCTGCTTTGAATCAAACCACATTTGTGAGATAACTTTAGCTACTAGTTAAGCTACTTTGCAGATAAAATGAATATAAATAAAACTAAATATAAATGAACAAATCATTGATAATGTCTTTTCAAAGGTTAAAATATGACTTTACTTTGTTTATCACAGGGCTTAAGGGCCTAGCAGTGTGCAAAGTAAGAAAAGTGAGCAGCACCTGTGTTTATCAGAGGCAACATTAAAGTGAGGAACATATTAAAGCATTAATAATGTAATACAATACCATAAAGGACATTATTCTGATATGTAATTCTGCTAAATTAGAAAATTTCTCCTGCTACCTAAGTATATTTTGACTTAGTTAAAAAGTTAAATTAAGGACTTTCACTTAAAAACATCTCTTTTCCCAGACTTTTTATTTTAACTAAATGCATAAAACATATCAATATATATAATATATAAATACATACATCGACATGGCTGAATTCCAGTCAGAAACCTGTCCTCTGTGTCATTATGAAAAAAGCAGCTTGTTATTGACAGCTGGTCACTGATGCTACAGGTAACGTCACGTTGAGTAAACCTGTAGCTGAACCGCTTCTAGACATACAGCAGATAGATAGGCCTGGGCCTGCTACCCAACTCCAAATGAAGATCAAAAAGATGGATTTTTCTGGGTTGTTGGTCAACCAGGGCTACATCATTACATCAATTCAGCCAAATGATGCGCTCTACCTAGCATAGCAGTCCTACATTGAGTGGTTATTTAAGTTAAGCCGTTGAAAGCTAACTAAAGCAGCTAGCTAGCTCTTCTATTTCTATGCTCAGCTGGTTGTTTAGCCGCCAGAGAAGGAGGGAGCCCCGACACAGCGGAGGCTGTTACCGACAGATGTTACACGCCGGACTTTAAACGTACCTTCTCCTCCGAGGACCCGTGTGTGTTTTCAGTCTCACATGATGACATTTCTGGATATGTTTCTGCAGAGCCGCCGATAACTTTACTAATTTCTGTTACTGTCGCATTCACCATCATCTCCAAAATGGAGCCTACCTGCGCCTCCAAATCTGACATTGTGACCACTGTATATGCCCACTAACAATACGTTTCTGTTCTAAAATGTTGTAATAAAAGACATGGCTTTTGTTACTACAATGTTGTCGTTAAGGGGAAAAAGAAAACTCGTGCTCTTCACAACAATGGTCATCCTCTTCCCAGTTCATGTTTTTCAAAATAAAAGCCCGCATGCTACGGTCAGTCAGAGTGGACCCAGTGATGGAGGCAGTGTTCAGAGGTACACTAAAGTCAAAGATCTTTTACCACAATGTCAAATGGCCTATTCTGTAACAAGTTCAGAACCTGCATTGAAAATGTTACTTGGTAACTTGTTTAAGAAAGAAAAACAATTGAAAGTGTGAAATTGAAATTAAAGTGCCATTACCAGTTTCCCTGGTGCACCCAATTATGCATTTTCTTGTTTTATCTTCTGGTATTTAACCGGAAAGCATGACATTTTGTCTGCCTTGGTGATATTCACGTGTTTACTGCCCTCAAATGGCTAAAGTGAGAAACTGCAGCACAATACACATTAATACACGTCAAAAACTAAATCAAAGAAGTTCCATTGTTCATAGTGAGTACTTAATAAGGGTTGATAAAGAGTTTTTATACAGTTTAGTCCTTCAGCGGTCACATTGAAAACTATAAGGCAGGGGTGTCCAAACTTTTTTCACCGAGGGCCACATACAGAAACATATACGAAGGGCTGGGCCACTCACTAGAGATGAGGTATATTGCCTCATAAATTAAGTTATAAGTCAGCAAAATTAATCAAATGTAGGTCAATTATGCTTGATACTTGAAAATGCCTTAAGAAAAAAACAGTCTATATCACAGCTCTCCTTAGGGGTTCATTTATTTTGTTGGCAGCTCACTCCTCAGTTTGCTTATAATAAGGGGAAATATGATTTCAAGCTTGTTAGGTAAAGAAGTTATTGTGCCTTTTTTTTATCAACTAAGATGTGTTAGAAAATGTTTCCAACTTTAATTGAATGAATTTATTTGAAAAGTGGGCTTATTAACACATGAATACTACTGTGTAACATATTTTGACATATATATTTAAGAAGTACAATATAAGACAAGCACAAGTTTCATTTGTGGGCCATATTACATTACACTTTTAGAATTCGCTGAGGGCCGATTCAAAATGGTCCGCGGGCCGCATTTGGCCCCCGGGCCGTAGTTTGGACACCCGTGCTATAAGGCAACACGTTATGTCAGACACAATAATAACAAATACAAACAACCCTGACTTTTTGAGTGTTTTGTTTTATAGTTAGTTAGAAAATATATTATTAAAGTCAAGGAGTTAAAGGTTAAAGTGAGGGTTGGTGTTTACTGTCCTTCGGTGGTCACAGTGAGGAACTTTAACCCAATGATTACCAGAGTAGATGACAAACAATTACAGTGTCATCAGTATGGAGATCTTCCGGTTATTACTTTCAAAATAAACTCCAACATTTTGTATTTACATGTATTAAGGAAACAGAAATCTGATTTGATTTGTACAGTGTGGTTGTTGGTTTCCCTCTAGCTATCAGGTTTGAATCATTTACTTAAAAAAATCACACAATCAACGTCTTGATTCATTTTTTGATTCATCATGACATCATTTTATTTTCAAAGAGCTTTGCTGTTTTGCAATTAAAGACTAATCATATCATTTTAAACAACCTTTATTTAAAATAATATGACTTAGGTTAATCTGTTGGCTGTATCTTGATTTGATCACACACTTCAAGCTTTCTCTTCACGGTCTGATTTTGCTGCTGACACTCCTGAACAACATTTAAAAAGGATTTTCTTTAGGCAGAACAAATAAAATCCCATATCACAACCAAGACATTCAGCTAACACTCCAAGTTGTGCAATATATGCAGGTTTTAACGTGTATTTATTTAAATATCCAATACATTTTATTACTGGGTTTTTATCCTGAAGGAAATCACACTGTAACTAAGAAAAATGACGTGCTCTGTTTTTAGGATGTAGCAAGTGTGTTCCCTAAAGTGTTCTGGTGTTTCTCAGCACAGTTGTGTCTCTTTAGCAGCCTTGAGTCTGAAAACCCGAGTCCACAGCTGCTGCAGGAGTACGGCCTCTCTCCGGTGTGGACCTGCATGTGAAACTTCACGTGTCCCAGCTGCCTGAACCTCACCCCGCATACCTCACACTCGTAGGGCTTCTCCCCCGTGTGGACCCTCATGTGTCGGAGCAGGTTGGTGTAGATCCTGAAGGCCTTGTCGCACTGCTCACATTTATGAGGTTTCTCTCCGGAGTGCTGCAGTTTGTGGGACTTGAGGGCCTGAGGGATGATGAACCTCTTCCCGCACACGTCACAACCGAACGGACGTTCTCCTGTATGGATCCGCTGATGGTAGTCGTACGTGGCTTTGTAGAAAAAGGACTTTCCGCATGTGGGGCATGTGTGCTGCCTCTGCCCGGTGTGAATCTGCTCGTGTCCCCTCAGGGAGCCGGCCGAGTCGAAGCCCTTGCGGCAGGTCTTGCAGCTGAAGGGCGTCACGTCCACCGAGGTTCTGTCCCGTCTGTAGATCACTCTGCGGTTCCCTTTCTCTCGAGTGCGCCTCCTGACGACCTGCCCGTGCCTTTCATCGTGAGTCGCTTTCTGGTGTTTCTGCAGCTGGCAGTTGTACAGAAAAGTCTTCCCACAGAGGTCACACATGAAGGACTTTGAGGCACCGTGAAGAAGCATGTGTGATTTGAGCCTGTTGTCCTGAATGAAGCTCTTCCCACAGACTTTACATTTGAAGGGTTTCTCTCCAGTGTGGATACGAAGGTGTCTCCTCAGGTTGTGCTGCAGAGTGAACCCCGCTCCACACGTCTCACATGTGAACATTTTCCCCCTGTGGCCCCGCTGGTGTGCGCTGAGCGACCTCCTCTTTATAAAAGCTTTGCCACACACCGTGCATTTGAAGGGATGCTCCCCAGTGTGAATGCTCTGATGGCACTGCAGCGTGAAGGCGTACCTGAAACCCTCCCCGCACTCGGAGCATTTGTGCGGTTTCTCAGCAGAGTGAACGACCTGGTGAGCCTGGAGGCTGTGTTTAGTTTTGAAGGCCTTCTCGCAGGTGGAGCAGGTGAATGGCCTTGTGTCCGTGTGCACCATCTGGTGAGTCTTCAAGTGCATTTGAGTTTTGAACATCTTCTCACAGAGCGGGCACTTCAGGGTGGCGTACTTCCTCTCCTCGTGCCGCAGCAGGTGGTACTCGAACGTCTCTGTGTTCCTGAACCTCCTGGGGCACTGGTCGCAGGAGAAAGGCCTCTGCTCCTGGTGAGTGTTCCTGTGCTTCATCAGGTGGAACTGCCGGCTGAAGCTCTTGTTACAAACCTCACATACAAACTGCTTCCCTTTTCCTCTCACTCCAGCTTCCTGTGTGTTCTGGCTCTCGGGGGTTTTGGATTCTGCCGTGTTGGTTGTGGAAGAATCCTCTTTAATGTCTACACAAGAGAGGAAAAGATACATGTTAATAAACAAGAGTTAGCGAGGGGACATTTTGCCAAATAAAGCTTTGTTTGCCCTAATTAACTTCTCAATTTCATTTTCAAATGTAGACACTACTGTGAAGAGTCAAAGCCGCACATAGCATTCCATTTACACATGTTTGTATGTGTTTACTTTTTGTTTTATTCCCGGTGATAATATGCTTTTCTTTGACAATAACAATTTCAAATGTTACCTTGTCCAATAGCCGCTGAGGACTCAGCTTCAGAATTCACTTCCTTTGCTGTTTCTTCACCTTCTTCACAAGAAATGAACAGAAGAATAAAGCATCAAAGACAGAGTCACTTAATACTGAACTTTTTATTTTCTCGTTTATAATAATACTCATGATGTCTGGGTCAAACTTTGCTCCAAACTAGATCATTTGCATCAATGTGGTGTTATGACTTCTCTTATCATAAAAAAAGGACGACATTTTAGGAAGTTTGGAGTAACATTTTATGCTGAGAGGGACGGACTGTTTTTAAAAAGTAGAGGACTGTTGGTTTTTTAAGTGTTTTTGCTTTAATTGATACGCTCATTTTATTCTTTGATTATTATTGTGATCATGTTACCTGCTAAATATAAGGTCTTCCCCCTTTTCTGTGTTTTATGTCTTTTTAAATAGAGATTTGAAAAAGAAAGGGAACATTTTTTTTAAATGGCTTTCACAGGATCATTTTGCCAGAACTACCATCTTTTATTGACACTTTCTGCATTACAGTTGAACTATCTTCCATCAAATATATCAGTATATATATTATCATTGACATTGATGCCAGCTTAACATCAGCAACCTAATCTATCTGAATCTAATCACAGGAAGTAAGTTATGGTTGTGTTCATGTCAAGTGTTCCATTCTAAGGAGCCCACTTCCCCTCCATTTGCTTTTTCTACATCCCATTTTAGCTTTGATTCTCCATCATGATTATGATGAATGTAGAAGTTAGTGTTTTCTAGTGGATTGTTGTCCTTTAATGAAAACCTACCATCATGTCCAGTGTCTGGGCCTTCCCCGGTCAATTGATCTGTTCTAGTTTTCAACTTCCCAGAAGGCTTCAGGGTGTAGACGAGGCCGCTCTGCTGGAACAGGACGGGGCTGCCGCTCAGGACGTGTTCTCTCCACATCCTGGCGTTCTCAAAGTTCTCCTGGGTGGTCTTCAGCTCGCTCTGCAGCCCCCCCACTCTGGCCTGCAGGGTCTGGTTCTCGTTGTGCAGTGTTGAGGACAGTTGGGAGAAAACGGCGTCGATCTTTCTCGTTGCCTCCCGTGCCAACATTTCCACAACGGTGTCAAAATCTGGCTGTGAGGATTCAAATAAAGAAGTCAACAGTGTGTTCTATAAATGAGCTGTTAGATAAAGCATCTGATGCTTATTTACCAACTGCTTATTCACATGCAAACGTTGTAATATCAACTGGTGGTATAACTGCAGTATCATTTAGAACAAATACATTACAATGTAGAGTTTATTTGGCCTAATAAGGGTTTAAACTGATGGCCCACCATAACTACATAACTATACAAAACTTAAGCACAATTTATTCATTTGTAAAAAATGTAACTGAACATTATTAACAGAATAACATTAAAATGACTAAAGCAATGTTTGGGTAAATTGTTTATTTGCTGGATAAGAATCTTATTTAGGAAGATGAGCCAATGAGGCGGAAATGGATCTTAAAAGTGGATGAGTATTGTAATAAGTAAAATGCTGGAAATATCCACTGAAATCTTTTGACGATAGTTAGTAGGTACAAATACGTACAAAATGACTAAAGTATAGTGCAGAAACATCAATATTGTTCTTAAGTAAATGTACTTAGTTACTTTGCACTACTGTCCAGGTGAGAATCAATTATATTTTCATGTAGAATTTTGTAGACGTTTGGATTAGATGTGGAGGAAGAAAATGATTAATAAATCATCACCGAGAGTTTTATTTAAAATTACAGATATTGAGTGCTGGAATATTTAGAACGTTGTAATATAAAATAAGAATAACCAATTTCAGGAGAAACAAATATCATATCACGGGAATCGGGATTATGATTCATTTGCAATCAATGCCATCAGTTAGTATCATTTATTGGTGTAATTTATGTTGCAGCTAATCTGTTATTACAACACGATTTATTAATTTAATTCACAGCCTATGCTTTAATAATAATGTAATAATTCCAAAATGTAGTGATATGAAGTTGCCAAAAACGGAACCTAAATAAGTAAAGTACAATTACTTAAGCACAGTCCTTGCGTAAATACATTACATTACATTCCAGTACTGTACAAATTATAAATCCAGGGCTGAGTTTGGCAAAAAGTACACAGGTTTCATCTACCGTCAATCCAATCTCCGAGTCACTGGACAGCAGTGACGCACCGTATTGTTCAGCATACGCTTTTTAATTTGAAATAAAATAAGAAATGTATTTCATTATTTTAACCTATATTAAGAGCCTGCACAAGTGGTTATGCGACTTAAAGTTACAAGGTGATAATACACTTTATTTTTCCGGATAGACATGTTTAGCTAGCTAGCTTTCTTCGTGATAACAGTCCGCCATCTTTGTTGCTCTTGGTGTTAACCTGTCCCTCTGCTTGGTTTATTCCGGCGGTCCAATCTCCCCCAGCTAGTGTTTCTGATCCCTCCTGTCTGGTGTCCGCAGTAATAACGTGTCTGTGATGCTACCCGACAGCAGAGCGGTAATATTAACCGTTAACTCACCTCCCGTCTCATGGTAGCCCCTTTCGTGGAGGTTTTTTCTTTAGAATGTCCAATATCAACAGAGGTCCTAATGACTGTCTCCAAGATGGACTTTATTTCTGAATAAAACACCAAGTTCTCTGACATTTTCGCATTTAAAGTTAGCAGCCGACAAAAACAAAAAACGCAGATTGGAGAGCAGCAATGATTCCGGAAATGGAAGTAGCGAAGGTAAATATATTTCAAAATAAAACTCTCAAAAGTTGCTTCAATTGCAAATGTTCTTTTAATGCAATAACAAACAAAAAGAAATATACACACTGCCATAATACATATCATTGACATAAGCCCGTCATTTTACAATGTGTTGTTTTTGTTGAAAAATAAACACATCTTAACATCATTGTATGGATTTTCATTGATGAACAAAACATAAATTATAGAAATCTTTAAAAAACAGAATGCCATTCAAAAATGCACTCAACTGGAGAAAATAAACAATTTCATCTGCTGAAAATAACTCCTAAGTCCTAAAACACACTTGAAATTCTGAAGCTGGTGTTTTTCGTCTAAAATACCTTTAAATCATCCAAACTCAAAACCTATATTTGTGGTTTCATATGTTTATCTTTGTGTTTGTATACAGGACAAACACAAGTAGCTGTCTTTATTAGATTTCTTAAAACTAATAATGCCAAAAATAATGCAGCCAACCTTTACTGTAAATCTCTGAATGAAAGTAGAACTGCCAGTACATTAACTCTCATTAACTGTTTTAATGACTTTAGATGAATCCCTTAACTTTAGCATATTAAGGGTAATGAAACGTGAGTAACCCTGAAGTGTTAAACACTTAAGTGGATCAACAGACAAAAGCATTCAGTTTATAATAAACCAAGCATCCCTTTGCTACTATGAAGCTATCTGGTGTATCTTTTTGCATGTCTCCCGAATACATTTTTCTGTCACTAAAAAGTATGTTGATTCATCGAATTGTAAAAGCTCCAAAAACTGATTTTAAAGATGTTTTTTGTAAAGCAATAATTGAGCATAAATGCACTGGGCCAAGTCATCTCAGTTCCATTAGACAACAAATGGCTGTTCATTTGTGAATATATTATATTAACCCATTTGTTACTCAGTCAAGCGTTCTTCCAGATTGTTCCCCATCCCCTCCCCTAGGACCCGTCACAGCTGTGCTTCTTGAGCTGCCTGGAATCGGAGAAGCCGCGGCCACACTGCTGGCAGGAGTACAGCTTCTCCCCGGTGTGGACCTGCATGTGGGACTTGAGCTGGTTGGACTGGTGGAACTTCTTGTGACAGTACAAACATTCAAACTGCTTCTCGCCCGTGTGGATCCGCAAGTGTCTGTAGAAGTTTCCGTCTGTTCTGAAGGTCTTGTCGCACTGGTCGCATTTGTACGGCTTCTCGCCCGTGTGAATCCGCTCGTGCTGCTTCAGGCTGCCAGTGTGGAAAAACCTCTTCCCGCACACGTCACAGACGAAGGGCTTCTCCCCCGCGTGGCTTCTCTGGTGATACCCGAAAGAGTACTTGTTGTGGAAAGCCTTCCCACAAATGCCGCAGTTGAACTCCTTGTTCTCGCTGTGGCCTCTCTCGTGGAGTTTGAGGGAACACGCGGCGCTGAAACCTCTGAGACATACTTTGCAGCTGAATGGTTTAATCAAGGACTTGTTTCTCTTTCTATTCTGCAGAAACCTTTGCGTGCCGTCCGTGTCCTCGTTCCTGTCAGCGTGCACGTACTTCTGATGGATCAGCAGCCGGCAGTTGAAGAGGAAGGTCTTCCCGCACAGATCGCACATGAAAGGCTTCCTGGCTCCGTGGATGAGCATGTGGGCCTTGAGCTTGTTGTTGTCGGAGAAGCTCTTCCCGCACTCGGAGCAGGTGAAGGGCTTCTCCCCGGTGTGGATGCGCAGGTGCCTCTTCAGGTTGTTGTTCAGGCTGAACCTGGCTCCACAGATGTGACAGGTGAAGGGCTTCTCCCCGGTGTGGACCACGCTGTGTCTCTTCAGAGCCGTGCCCGTCCTGTAGGACCTGTTGCACACGGTGCATGTGAACGGGGTGACGCCTGTGTGTTTCCTCTTATGCACGGTCAGGGAGTGGGCGTATTTGAATGTCTCCTCGCACATTGTGCACTTGTATTTTTTAGAGTTGGAGTGAACCATCTGGTGGAAGCGGAGGGTGTCTTTGCTCTTGAACTCCTTCCCGCAGGTGGCGCAGCTGAACGGTCTCTCCTCCGAGTGCACGGCCATGTGACACCTCAGCTGGACCGATGTCTTGCACGTCTTGTCACAAAGATGGCACTTCAACATCTGCTTCCATTTGTCGTGGCGCAGCAGGTGGTTCTCCAGAGAGCGCTGGATTCTGAATGTTTTGCCACACTGATCGCAGGCGAAGGGCTTGGGCGGTTTGGAGCGCTCGTGATGCTTGAGGTGGTTCTGGAGCGACTCCTCTCTCCGGTACGACCTCTTACACTGAGGGCAGGGGAAGGGCAGGGGGGCTTTGCTTGCCTCGTGGCGCAAAAGGTGATTTTCCAGAGACTTCTTTTCGAGGAAGCTCCTGCCACACTGCTCGCAAGGAAAAGGCTTCTTGTGGACCTTCATGTGTTTCTTTAATTCACCTTTCCAATTAAAACCTGCGTCACAATGTTCACAGGGAAACCGCTTTGCTGTCTCTTTTCTTTTAAGCCTTTTTCCCGGCTCTCCACTTGAGTTGGTTTTCTTCTCTTCGACGCTGTTGTCAGTGGAAGCTTCAAATAAAGAGGAGAAAAGTTACAACATTAGAGATCTTATTTTAAGAGGCCTCTACTTTGAAATAAGATTGTATCCTCTACCTATTCAAGTGCCTTCCCAAATGTTAATGTTATGGTCCCAAACCTGTGACAAGCAACACTGAACCCTATTCTCACCTTCTTCAGTCTTATAAGTGGCTCTCCTCGTCCTCCTCGTTCTGCCTGAAAGTGCCTCTTCCACAGATTTCTGTAATGAATAAGAAGGTCATTTGATTTGAATATTTGATCATAAACGTTGGTTTGCCTCTTAAATGACATACTGTATATCCACAACATTGGGGAATAAACACAACTGAGATTAGAGCTGCATTATTAGCTAGCCAAAACAAATGATCATGGTCATGTGTGCTCCACCCATAGAAAACCCAGCTGCATCAAATCAAGCGCTCCCTTAAGTTACAGCCAGTCAATAGGGGGATGTTTGGGCTTCACTTTTGGGGAGCGTGAGAAAGGCATTTCTTATGTTGGTGCAAAGATTTTTTTAACTAGCAAGAATCTAGCTCCACATGGACATGACAGTTGGGCTGGGTTGATTTAAGTGTATTCTCATATTTTGTTAATACAAATGATCTGAAGATTGAGTTTAAAGACATTGTTGCTTCCAGACAAATCAGAGACCTTATCGCAACTTAATTCCCCTCGCATAAGACATAGAAAATACATACATGTAAAAAACGTACATGTTATAACATTAGTGTGGTGTGCAGGGTCCTCAGGTATGGAACGATAATGTTATAAAAAAATGTTGTATCTGCCTGAATACAAGTTATTCTGAAATGTATACAATTTGTAAAAAAAATCTTTCCTTTGTAATATATCTATGTTTATTATATTCTACCTATTTTTAAGCCAATTTTCAGACTGATACATTCATATTTTGGGACCATTTAGTATTTAGGGTAAGATTAGCTGTCAGCTGCTAATAGTTCTGTATAGTACATGAACTCTTTCAATTCTACATATGTTGCCAACATATATTGTAAATACTTTCTGTTTAGTCTACCCTAATCTCAAGCTTCAGATAGTTTATCAGCTTTTTCTATTTCACATGTAGTCTTATGATTGTACGTTTAAACTCTTTATGAATAAAATGAATTGAATCTAGGAGTTAAATAAAAAAACATCAGAAACAGCCCACCTTCTCCTGTGCTGAGTCTGAGGGGGGGGTTTGTGGAGGCGTCGATGCCGCTGCTTTGAGGAGGAGTGCTGATTCAGAGACAGTCGTAGGTGGTGCAGGGAGCTGGGGGACCACTTGGCTGGCCCCCACCAACAGTACCATGGGGGGGCCACCAGCAGACACCACGGGGGCAGGGTCAGGCTCAGGCTCAGAGACGGGGTCAGGCTCAGAGACGGGGGCGGGGTCAGGCTCAGAGACGGCCACAGGGTCAGCGGTGGAGCTGACTGCTGAAACTGGAGGGGGGGTGGAGGAAGGTTCCTTCACAGCCACCAGCGGAGCAGCAGGGCTGGTGGAGACCGACAACACCGGGGCTCCTGACAGACACAACATCAACTGTTATTATTATCCTTCACCGTGTCATGTGAAATGTGTTTAGAACAAGCAGAAATCAAAAGAAGGATTTATCCAAATCAAATCAAATCTGTGGCACAGAAAACAAAGCAAGTTGTACTTATTGGAGCAAAATGCCAAATATTTAGTAGTCCCAATTTCTTAAATATATTGATTCATAATTGTCCCCATCATTAGAAATGAAATATCTCTAGGGTAAGGGCTGTCAGACAAAATACAATCTGACTTTGTGTCAGGGAATTGTAATAACCTTTTTTAGACTAAACAATGAATCCTCCATTATAACAAATGTACGTTCTAGTTTAAAGGTTAACACCACCTACGGGGGAAGTAAAGTAGCCTACTAATACCAGGCTAAATTACTTAGTCATAAGTCAAAGTCTTGGATTGAAAATGTGTAGTTCAGGAAAATGTTCTCAAGTTGAAACGACATGTATATATTTCAATAACAAGTAAGAAAAGCAGCAAATCCTCACATGTGTTGTTTTATTTTTGCACAACAAATGCATAAGCTATAAGCAAAATAGTAGCCACTGATTTTCTGTGAACGGCTACATCTTTTCAGATTCTTTATTTGTTTGTAAGGAAACATTGTCAGATATGAATAGTGGAGTACCAGTAGAACTAACAGAACATTCCAAAGTAAAATTTAAAAGCAACAACAAGCTGGTATTGAGTAAATGTACTTAGTTAGATACATTCCTCCACTGAGCCCCAAACATATTCCCAGGCCACAGTGTGTGTATTTTAACCTTGGTATGTATACAAATAACATTATAACTCAATCTGAGGACAGTTGAGCTCTCAGGTGGCTATCAAAGTGATTGACGGGCTGATTAACAGCTGTCCCTCACCTATCAGAGAGGCGTCCTGCACCAGGAGGAGGGTCGGTGCTCCCGGGGTCTTGCTGCCGACGTCACTGATGCTCTTCAGCTCCTGCTCCAGCTCCTCCATCTCTTTGCCCAGCTGTCCCACTCTGGCCTCCAGCTCCTGCTCCAGCTGCCCGGCTTTCTTCTGCAGCACGTCCTCCAGCTGCTCCACCTTGGCCCGCAGAGCCTCGTTCTCCTCGAACAGCTCCGAGGAGTACTCAGTGAACACCTTGTGGATCTGGAGCACCAGACACTTCTCTATCTCCAGGATTTCTCCGGACTTCGCCTCTTCCCACTGCGAGTTTGGCGCCTCTTTGGCCCAGACATCCCTGAACACAGACACGGCCGCCTGGATAGCGACTTCGACTATGGACGCCACTTCGCTGCTAAACCTTGCTTCCATTTTTATTCAGTCACATTACAAACTCAACCCAGTGTATCTGCCAGTCTGCCGGACATGTTTTAAGCAACAAAAATAACCAAATATAGAGTCAGTTGGACTTTTAACCCAACAAAAGTCTCTCTTCCGTGTAAACGTTTCGCTAGCTTTCCTACAGACTGCCGGTCCGTCTCTGATAAGATTCCGTGCAGCACATCCGCTTCCGGTGTCATGTCTACATTTCAAAATACAAGTCCTTCTAAAATGTCTAGGCAAAAACAACCACTGGGTGGCGAAGTATTTGATATATTTAGCTTGAGTAGCAATACCACACTGTAAAAATACTCTATCACTAAATACATTATTATTATTATCAGCCTATTTGGGCCTTAACACTTATTTGCATTATACCATCACCACACCAAGAGGACAACTATAAACAACAGGGTTGTCTCTAAAGTGACAAAAACATATTTCCTTTGTCCTGGACTGCTTGCAGTTACTGCATGCATTATTAGGCAATACAAATAGACCTAACCTCAAATAATCACACTTTTACAATCACTTTCTCACTTTGCGGCCCTTCCTGGAACACAAAGGTCTCCAGGGCCCCAGACCTCACTTATCTGCTTCACAAAAAGACACACACACTTACATGATCTTTCAATATCACAATTTGTATTTATCAATTCAAAGAAAGGACTGTACAGAGCAAATGATTAGCCGTTGGTTCTGATCATTTTGTACATTATTTGTTCATTCATTCCCCCTTCTGTCATGTTGTAGTTTGTGTTTCCCCAGTGTGTTACAGTGATTGCATAGTGGAGGGATGGGACTTGAAGACATGCACAGCAGTACCATAATAGCGACTTTGTCATTCATGCAACCTCTTTGTCCTGTTGTGTTTGTGTGGATCGTGTCCAGCCCAATCCCACTGCAACACATCTTAACATAACAACGACAAGGGGCAGATTTACCAGTGTCACCATGGATAAACTCATTTTCTTGTTTGTTTGACAGAAAAGACCTCTGAGAACATACATTTACATCATCAGGTAGGCAGGCAGACAGAGAGGCAGGCTACAGGCAGACAGACAGCGGCGCTCTGGGGTCCTGGGGGGAGCAGATATTCAGTCAGTACTGGATTATCTCTGTCAGAATTCTATCTGGAATTATTTTTAGAAATGATTCTCTTTGTTTGGAGCACAGGAACATGAGGGGTTTTCTGCAGAAAAGTGAGACAATCTGATGCTCCTTGAGTCTAATGATGCAGATCATTGGTGCATTTATTTATTTACATATCAACCCTCCAATAAAACATCCATGTGTCCACATCATCCCCCACTCAATAACTGTTAGTTATTTAAATCCATAAAATGTCCAAACTGAAGTCACCATTCAACCTTTGCTGCATTCATGTGTTAAATGTGCCAGCACTGATTGTCCTCAGGAACATATAAACAAAGCTAGATTAAAAAAATACATTCTACTTATAAAGGTATGGATGATTGCTTTCACTGTAGTCTGAGCCCTATTAGTAGATATTGTGTATTTAGTCCAGGCAGTGTGTGTATCTCCAAGGTTACCATGTGTTTTGTGAGGACACTGGAGCAGCAGCCAATGAGAAGCCTGATGAGAATTTGAAAGCGCTGCTGGTATAACATGTTACCAGAAGATGAGCATTTTAAATATCAACACATGAAGAATATGACAGTGAATCTTTACAGCTGTCCAACATTAGGCATGAATCAGCTGTGATACTAACAATAGTTTTCATAATCAATGAATGCAGTGATTATTTTGTCCATTAATGATATTAACATTAGAAAACAATAAGAAAAATCCCCATAGTAATCTCCATAAAGCCACAAGATACATTTTGAGTTTATAGTGTTATAAAACAGATGAAAAAGCCTTAAATCTTCACATTGCTAATTGCTATTTGTTTCAGCTGGAGGCCATATACAGGGTTATGCACCAAATGTGAGTAGCACAAAAATAAACCCTAAAAACAATTACAAAACTGATCAGTTTCTATTAAAAACCTTCCTACTGAGATCACTTTGAACTTGACTGACTCTGACACCCCTCCGCTGGACCCCCCCCCCCCACACCGCTGCCCCTCAGACCTGCAGCGTCCTCAGTGCAGAGAAAAAGTTGCATAAAGTTTCAGTTCATTGCTACCATGGACGACATCATCATCATCATCATCATCATCAATACTTCCATTACAAACATTTCTACAATCTTCATACATTGCACTCCATATGACTGCATACTGCTGTGGTTTTGGTGATGCAACAAAGACTGGAACTATGTTCATTGTCAGTCTGCATGAGCGGTTCCCTCTATATGAATTCATATTTCACCTTTTAACTGTGTGTTCTTATTTCTGCTTTGATGAAAAGTATCTTAGGATTGACATGCTGTGTTCAGAGAGCTGGACAAACACTGATCTGCACCCAAACTGAAATCAACAACATTTGAAAGTGAGGAAAGAAAACTATAAATACATGAATGATAAACCAAAAGGTATTTTATTCATCATTTGATCTGGAGCCGACACACTGAGTGTGAACAGAACAGCACAGACACACAGACAGCAGGGCACCACCCGGACCATCAGTGTTTACACTCTAACACATCTACTGGCTTCTGCTGTGGGAAATGGTTCCAATGACATATTTGTAATGTTGTCTGTTAGCTGTACCCTACATGTTTTGTCCCGTGTGTATCTACGGCAACAACGTGAGACTGTTTATCATGCTGATTCATAATCACACAGCAGTGGACTGCACCGCCTCACTGTGGAACATTTGCTCATTCAGAATTCACCTCCTTTTTACTCTGACTTTGTTGTGTCCAACATGCATGATGTAAATGGTTGCATTGATCTGCGGGCACACCAAATGAGGATGCATAAAGTGTGTTGAAATGATGAGAGAAAGCAACAGTTCTCAAGACATGTTTTATGAAACCAGACAAAGAGGTCAGGACAGAATGTCAAATCCTAGAGAACAACGTACACCCCTCAAATAAAGAGCAGTCAGATATAAAAGAAGAACATTGAGGCATAACCTCAAAATTACACTTTGATGAAACAACGAGAAACATTTAAAAATGGAAAATACTGACTTCTGATATAAATAGGATATTGAAATTTTAAGTTTAAAGTCCAACTAAATTCCTACTTTAAAAATAATATCAATTAATTAATTTGGAATATTGGTAATTATTTCTGTACTATTTAAATAATGAAAAGGAGGCTGGCTTAGCTCCTCCAGCAGTAGAGAGGAGACAAAGTAACATCATGCAACCAAACATATTAAGATATAAATGTTCTCCTTTTTGGTTTGTGATTTATTTCCCAAAATAGGAACTGTGTTTTACAGCGCAGTAATGTATACTGCCACATTTCAGCTGGACTTGAACTAACTAATAAAACACAGTATCTGTGATATTGAAACATAATTGGTATTGGAATGGATTTTAAATGCTATCTGACACATATTTGACTAGGATGCTCGTACAAGGGCAGGAAGTGACTTAAGTTCCCCCGCTGCATTTAGAAGTGTATTAGACTAGCTCCTCCCCTTCCCTCTCCACCCGTTATGGCTTTGTGGTGACTTTATAGCAACATGAACTGAAGCATGGAGTCAGCAGGCTGCAAAGACAAGCTTCTATTGACAAGTGATTTCTCTCCAAGAAAAACATGCAATCTCACATCTTACTTACAATATTTGGTCAGTGTGATATCCTGTCTCTTCATCCACTAACTCACTCACGCCTGTATCATTCGAATGGGATGTTGACCTTGACAGATTAATGACCTCTGGAACACGTTTATAACCTATAAGAGTTATATATCTGTGTGTGTGTGTGTCTGGAAGACTGAGGTGGCATTTGAGGGGACAAACATATGAACATGTGTAGCACACGGTAAGCACACGCTAACATAAATAACCTGAGAGCTATGGAGACCCTGGGAGCAGAGAGCAGCAACACACACACACACACACACACACACACACACACACACACACACACACACACACACACACACACACACACACACACACACACACACACACACACACACACACACACACACACACACACACACACACACACACACACACTGAATACTACACGCAGAAAAACAAGTCATTTTGAATTCTGTATTTAAAAAAAAAAAGGTTTCGACACATTAGTGTGAATAAATCAAAGAGAATACCCAACGAGTGGTTTGATGTTATAAGACAATGGAAGAGTAGATGACGCCTGTGTTCAGCCTCACTCACTGAAAACATGCCAGGCGCAGATTTTGTGCTTATGACCAAAGCCAAACATGTCATTTATTGAAAAATGATCCTGATGCTAAAATCAAAATTTCATAAATGTATTAATGAAATGTAGAGATATCAAAACATACACCTTGCAGTTTTATGTGTGTTTTTCCACATACAACTTCAATGAATAAAGTTAATTGAAACGTCATTTGAATGCATGGGGTCCCTGGGAGCATCACATTAGTGATCTCTCTCTGATCACTGATCCAAGAACTGCAAGTTTTTCTTTTTATAGATATAGTATAGTGTTTATATCACAGGTTAAAGGTGGGGTAGGTAATTTTGGAGAAACCAGCTCGAGATCGCTAGAATTTGAAAATACTGCCACTTCCTTACAGAGCCCCTCCTCCAACACACACGAACGCGCACATGACCAATGAGGGCACGAGATAAGTTTGTGCACAGATGGAAGGCTGACAGGCAGGTAGGCCATCCAGTTATTTTAGCCGGGCCGGCTAAAATGATTGGTCGTGCTTTTTACAGTACTACGGCTTCCACAGATGATATTTTTTATGGATTTTTTGTCAAAGCACTTAAGATATTCATTGCTATCGGGATGTTAAGAGCATTCCATGGAATATAACAAAAAGTGTATCTCGAGCCGGTTTCTCAAACTTACCTACCCCACCTTTAATAACCATGTGATCTGCCTTGAAGAAACATTAATGAGAACATCTTTAATCCTAAATACGTCCAATACAACTAAAGGAAGCTCTCTGTTAGCACTCTATTGGCAGAATGTGGGAGTTTGGATGTATTTCTATGGCCCTCTGAGCAATGATTTCTGTTTTTCTATCGTTTCTTGTATTCATTTGATGGTTTCTTGTATGGTTTTGTAGTTTGTCATTCTGCTCGGCCATCTA